AGGATAGGTATACTAGTAGGGCTGTTACTATACCGAATACGACTATTAGCTAGGTTTTCTTCTAGGTACTTACGCAATACAGCAAGCTCGCGCTTACTAAGGTTGTAGAGTAGTCTAAAAGGAACCTCCTTGCCCTCTATAATATCAATCTTATAATCCGTCTCTTTAAATATAGGCAATATCGATACTAGGTAGTGTTTGAATACATTAATATAGGTCTCTCGAATAGGTTCTAGTATACGCTTAAGTTGTTTAGGATCTATGCTATTAGGGGGCACTAGTTTATCGTTATTACTACCGAGCAGGTCGGCCGTCGGATCGGCTAGGGTTAGGTTGCTAATAAATAGGACCCTAATATTATTAGGGCACTCGCTAATATTAATATGTTTAATGTCCTCTTTCCTAGCGATTCTAAATCGCTATTGTTAACTGCCTAAGTCTATAACTATAGCATAGTACTTAAGAACAGGGTTACTAATAATAATGTTAGATAGGAGGCTGTCTATATCTACTATATAGGCAGTAAAGTTTAGCAGGCGCTTATTGCCGAGGTCGTCTCTTAGGGCTATATAGACATAGTAGGCTCCGTAGGTTAAGTGCCGAGCATTATTAAACTAAGTAAGGGTTGGTAGGTTAGTCCTAGGCAGTTGTCGAAGGTCTAATTACTTAGCTAGGCGATAGCTAATAAGGGCACTAACTGAATTTCCTAGATCTAGCGTAACCTTAGTCTTATAGTTAGTCCTATGCGTGTCCGATACGAGACAGGTACGTGTAATAGCTAGCATAATGTCGATAGTCTTACGCCGTACAAGGCTAACAGTTAGTGCGGCGCTTATTCTTTTTTCGACTAATAAGAAGGTTAGCCTATAGGGGTAGCGTTAGCTGCTAAAAGGTGCTTTCGGTGCTTAGCGGCAGCGCGGTCGATTCGGGCCTAGTCCTTAGGTTTGTCGCATTAGCCTAGTAGATAGCTAGTGCTATTACAATTGAAGCACTTTAGTCCGGTTAGGGGATTGCTATAGCTATTACCGCTATTATTAGCCGAGCGATTAGTACTATAGGGATACGAGCCCCTTCTACGGCCCCTATTACGGCCTCCTCTATATAGCCGTCGGCTACGGCTTCTCCTACGGTCGTTGTTGTTACTACCTCTATTATTAGCACTAGTGTTGTTCTAATACGAACCTTAATTTCCTCCGCGGCTACGATAGGTAGCTAGGCGTATCTTAGATTCTAACCGTTGTTAGAGCTATACTATACGCTCTGCAGTCTCGACTTCAACTATAAATTAAATGCGTATAAGATTAGTTTGTTTAAACACACGGCGGCGGTCCAATTTAAGGACTAATTCCTATCTCAGTTTTAGGCGTATTTCCGAGATCTATATAGAATTAGTCTTAGCCGGAAGATTATCCTCGAGGGTCTTTAAATAGGCCTCAAATAAACGAGCCGACTAGTTAGTCTTTTGTTTAGCTCGAAGGTATTAGTCCTAAGCATACTATTGTCTTAGTATCGGGTTTCTAAGAGTGTCTAGTATAATAGTCTTATAGGTTTTCTACTAAATAGCAGTCTGATTATTAAGGGAATCGAAATAGTCGTCCTAGGTGCGCTTTAGGTCACTATTAATGTACTACATAGCGTGAACAACTAAGGAATAGTCGTCTAGAAGAGCCCTTAGTGCATTTCGCTAGTTAAGCTCGCAATTACGTATATAATTATTGTATTGCTTGCGACTAGAGCTATTAAACACGGTGCAGTCCTTGAGTTTAGCATCCTTCTTCTAGACTAGGACTAATAGTAAGGAAGGCCCTGCGGTCGGCTTAGTGTTAGTTGTTAGGGCCTCCTAAAGGCGACGAATTTCGAGGAGGTTATCCTTTAGCTGTTGCTCTTAACGTAGGGCAGTAAGCCTGTTTTAGGTAGCTTCTTAGAGTCTCCCTACTAGTTAGGGGCTAAAGGCTAGCTAGCTATATCGTCGATTAACAATGTTGTTAAGAATGTCGTTAATAGGTAATTCTAGATTATTACCTAGAATTGTAGGTTCTTCTTTAATAGGCTCTCCGGTAGGCTCTTTAGTAGGAGGTACTTTAGTAGGCACTTTAGCGGGAACTATGCTACTAGCGTTATCGTTGCTAGCGCTACTAGCAGTAGCACGGTTGTTGTTTCGTAATAAGCCGGCTATTGTAGTAGGGGGTAACACTAATAATGTATTGTTAGCCCCTAAAATGCGGATATAGCGGAATTAGTAGATATTAGTCTAGTACGATTGACTTAGTATAGTAGGCCGTATAGAAGGCCTTACTTGATAATTAGTACGGTTGTTTCGATAGAATAGTACGTATAGGTCCCGTTCTTCGGGCGCAATATAGTTAGATTAGTCTTGTTCGTAGCTATACCGCTAAAAGCTTGAAATAAGGACTATCTAGCTGCTGCCCTTAAAGGGTAGATCGAATACTATATAAGAAGGGTTATATTAGTAGGTAGATAGGGTGGTAGTGAATTAGTTTAGTATTCGATAAGGATCTAGGAGGAGAGGGAGGAAGGTAGGAGAGTTAGCCTAACGCTAAGCGCCAAGCCCTGCCTAAGGCATCGAGACCCTAGCTTTACTCGGCCTAGTTACATACCAATTACGTATAGCCTCTTTAGCCCTAACACTTACCTGCCTCCGAGAGCTACTAATTAAGAAGCGGATTAATAAGCTAGAGATTATTCTATACGACCGAGACTAGGCATTCATTAATGCCTACAAGACTATGTTTCCGGACCTTCTAATATAGTATTGTCGCTAGCATATAAACAAGGCCGTTACTATCAATTGTAAGCGCGTTCTTAGTGTTATAAAGAACTACGAGACTAAGCGCTTTAACCTATCTCCGGCAGGTAAGGAGTTTATAGCTCTCTTCTTCTTAGCAGTTAACACTTAGTCGGAGACTGCTTATAACGCTGCCTTAAAGGACATTAAGAAGCGCTCTACTACCGACGAAGCCTAGTTTAATATAGCCTATTATCTCGAGAATAAATAGTAGCCTTATCGTAAGAAGTGTGTTAAGGCGTAGACTAACCGCAACAAGCACTATAGCAACGAGACAACCTCCCCTATTAAAGGGGCGCACGTAGGCATTAAGTTATAGCTTACCTCCTCGAAGGCGGACATTCTTACCTTCGTAGAGCGAATAGAGCTATATTAGGACTACTAAATCGACCGCTAGAAGGAGCGCTATACTGTCGAGTCTAATAGTAGACTCGTTGCCTTTATAATAGACAGATTCTACTAGCGAGTAGTCCGTATTGTTATAAGGCACGCACTTAACAAGGTTAAAGAACAGGTAGACCTTATAAAGGCGGAAATCGAGAAGGCTAAGAAGGATAGTAAATTCTAGCCGAAGCCGTATTTTATACGCTTCCGCTATACTATAGGCATGCCTTGTCGCTGTCTAATCCGAGAGATGCTAAAGAGTAAAGGGCTTCGAGTGCTTATAGTAGACGACTTTAATAACTACTAGCTTGTACCTAGCGGCAAGCAAAAGGATACTAGCAACCGCACTATTAAGCTACGGAAGAGAGCTAAGAAGCGTACGAATATTAGCTACAAACGAGGTTAAGGAGACAATAGCACAGGCCGCTTACCTACTAGCGCCGAGCGGATTGATCTAACTAATAGAGCAATACTACTACTAGGCACTATACCGGCTTAAGTCTATATTAATCTAGTTAAGCGGCAACGACAAGCTAAGCCTAGTAGGCAGGAGCTACTACTATTACTACTAGCGATAGCAACTATTAAGAAGCAACGGTATAGTTGTAAGGTAGGTTGTAAGGCCGGTCGTTACGGTTATAGAGCTAATAACCGAGTCTATAGTATCTATTGCTATAGACCTAGAAATACGTATTGTAATATAGAAGACTATAGACAATAATAACAGCCGATACCTTTATAGAGCGCTCTACCTTCAACCGCTCCGCTAGCACTAATATAGTACCCTATACTACCGCTAGTAAGCTTATTCGCTCCGCCGGCATTAATAATATAGATAGAGCTATAGCCCTATAGTAGTAATAGTACTACCTTCTATAGCGGCAATAGCAACACCTTCTATAGCGGCAATAGTAACACCTTCTATAGCGGCAATAGTAATAACTTCTATAGACTAGGAATGTAGGTAATCTTTAACTATAGTCTAGTAAACTATAATAGCTTTATCTATAACCCCGAGAATGTTATAAGCCTACATCTGCTACTAAGGAAGTATAGGTACGCTAGGCATTTGCTATAGCAATAGATCGAAGAGGTGCTAGCTAGATTCTACTATAAAACAAGCTTCTATACCGTAAAATCTTATAATTTCTATTAATTACTAACCTAGGGAAACGTACGAATTCTACCTATACGTGTAACACTTGCAATGCGATATTATTGTTAGCAATCGCACCGAGATTAATCGCTGAAGTGGTGTTCTTAGTAAGCCGGAGCTTGAGGTTTATCCTGGCGGGTTTGAATTTTATAAAAGCCGGACGACTTCTCCACATGCCCCGGCTGTGCTTGGATCAGGTCAAGGGCGATCCCGGCGATGTAACCACAACAACACCTCACTGACCTCAGCTACTGCATACCCCAGCTACCCCGCGTCATCGTCAGGAACAGAACAGAACGGGCTGGGGTTTCGTCGCACGTGGTGCTCGACGTTCGCGGTGCCGCTCGCACATTTCGGTGAGCAGCGGCAGATCGCAGGTAACTTAGCAGTCAGCCGGAGCACGCAGCAATGGCAGGCGCGGTGCCTATTCTAGAATGCAAGCGGCGGCCCAGGATGCCCATGCTGTGAGCTCAAAAGCATCCTCTGGGTGGCATGCATCTGACCAGGGAAATCTCCACTGCGGTGGTGACGGTGCTCCATATGTTACATGCAATGCATGACGCTGCCGATCACCAAACAATAGCCGGCAGTACAAGACGAACGTCCGTCTCCGCAGCAGCTGTTCCTCGCTGCACGCGACCTCTCATACGCCTCGACGCACCTCCGGCATGTTGAGAGGACGCTGTCTCGTGCCAGTCTTGGCCTGCCTCTCCGGCGTGGTCTTCGCTGCAGAGAATCTTACCTGTCCCGACTACATCGCCTACGCAACCGAACATCATGGCCCATACTCCGAAGGGAGATTCAACTTGTCATATCAACGCCCCGCTACACGCTGTCGAACATTCAATTCCTCGATCGTCGAAAGCACTATAGATCGCATCAAGAAAGAGATTGCGGATCCGGACTTGAAAAGACTGTTTGAGAACACCTTCCCAAACACTTTGGACACGGCAGTCAAATGGAAGGGCTATGCGAAGAATGCCACTGCGGGAGAGGAGCTGACCTTCCTGATCACTGGCGACATCAATGCCATGTGGCTTCGCGATAGCGCGAATCAGGTTCAATCGTATTTGCCCTTGCTCGAGGCATCGGATTCTCCAGACTCTCTGGCCTCCCTGTACCGTGGTGTCATCAATCTCCAGGCTCGTTACCTCCTCACCGATCCGTATTGCAACAGCTTTCAGCCGCCCGCAGAATCAGGCCTTACTCCCAGTTATAATAGCTACGGGGCTGCAGATGTTGTGACTCCACCTTTCAGCAATCAGTCAGTCTTCGAGTGCAAGTATGAGCTTGACTCACTGGCAGCTTTCTTGGAGGTTTCGTAAGTTTTGCCGGAAGTGCTCCCAATTGAAACAGTTCTGATTCGAGTTCTCCAGCTACGACTATTACAATGCTACCCAAGACGCCGAGTTCTTCGGAAAGTATAACTGGGTCAAGGCTGTGGAAAGCGTTCTGCAAGTGGCCGACCACATGTCGGTGTCGACATACGAGCCAAATGGCTTCGTGCAGAATTTGACGTACACGTGGAAGAGAACGACCGATACCGCTACGGAGACGCAAGCCAATCTTGGCCGTGGCAACCCATTCAATAACGTCACTGGTCTAGTCAGGTCCTTTTTCCGACCGTCTGACGACGCAACCATCTATCAGGGCTTCATCCCGGCCAACATGATGTTTGCGAGATTCCTGGAGGGCACAGCTCCGATTGCGTCCAAGATTGGTCAGACTGATCTATCAAAGAGGATGACTGACCGGGCGTCTGGCATACGGAAGGCTATTGAGCAATGGGGCATAGTCGATACTCCAGCATTCGGCAAGATCTATGCTTTTGAGGTCGATGGTAATTGAACGCCTATCTGACAACGCTTGTGATCGAGAGACACTGACTCATTCGACAGGCTATTTCGGCCAGAACATCATGGACGACGCCAATATCCCATCGCTACTTTCTGCACCATTCATAGGTTACCTCGACGTCGATGACAAGGTGTACCAAAACACGCGAAAACTCATTCTCAGCGCTGCAAATCCATACTTTATGCGTGGCCCTGTGATCAATGCTATCGGTGGACCTCATGCAGGCTTGGGCTACGCTTGGCCAATGGCAGCAATTGTTCGCATCCTCACTACGAGCGACGATGCTGAGATCACTGAACAGCTACGTGAGATCGTAAGCAGCACAGATGGACTTGGACTGATCCATGAGAGTATCAACACCTTTAATGTCAGCGATTGGACGAGACAATGGTGAGTAAACATTGCAAGTGTTCGGCGACTGTACTAACCTTGAGCAGGTTCTCGTGGGCGAATGGACTGTTTGGTCAGGCGATCTTGGACTTGAGCGACAGAAAGCCTGGGATTCTCAAGCAGAGCTTTCAGACAGACAGCGCGTCTTATACATAAGAAAAATACGAGGAATTAAAGAATGAAGTCTTGCACGCTCTTCTCACAGTGCTCCCATTGCTGCATCCGATGTGGGCAAAATACAAAGCTGTGCGGGGACAAGTCCGCGAGCCATGCGCCATGACGATCCCGCATGCGTGTCTGCAAGTAAGCCAAAGCTTGCTCTCGCGCAGACCAATGTTATCAAGCTACAGTGGTCCTTGTGAAGGCTAATAAAGGCTACAGGAGCTGGCACTGATTTCGGAGACGGTAGACCGACCCACTCGCTTCGCATTGCATTAGCATTTTGACGTCAAGACTTTCTGAAATTGTGTCCAAGTGTTGACGCAGCTTTCTTTGTATTGAAGTTCCTCCTCTCAATCTCTCATCCTCACAGGCTATTAGCAATGGCTCCACAAGTATTTCTGATCACTGGAACCAGCACTGGACTTGGAAATGAGCTTGTGAAAAAGTGTTTAGCAGAGGGTGACAAAGTCGTTGCTACGGCGAGAAACTCTTCGAAGCTCAAGTTCGATGGTACAACGAAAGATAACTTTCTCGCAATCGATCTTGACGTTACCGACCAGAGGTCAGCTGGCAATACTGACATCTGGAATGGGGAGAATGCTGACAGGTAGAGCTAGTGCTGTCGACAAGGCATTCGATGCAACTCTCAAGCAGTTTGGGCGCGTCGATGTGGTCGTAAACAATGTAAGTCCTTTTACAATCGATGAGGAAGGGCTGTACTGACATCCCCAAGGCTGGCTACGGCCTCTGCGGTGAATTCGAATCATGTTCAGAAAAGCAGGCACGCACACAAATGGAAGTCAACTTCTTCGGTCTGATGTATGTGACCAGAAAAGCTCTCAAGATCATGCGAGAGGTCAACAAGCCCGTGGGAGGAAAGATTCAGCAGGTCACGTCTATCGGCGGTCAGGTTGCTTTCCCGACGACCTCGATATATTGTGCTTCGAAGTGGGCTGTGGAAGGCCTCACAGAGTCAATAAGCCAAGAGATGAAGCCGGAGTGGAACATCAAATTGACCTGTATCGAGCCAGGTGGGTTTCGGACGGATTGGGCAGGTCGGAGCATGGTCTTTGGGGAAGAAAAGGAGGCTGCATACGATCATATTGATGCTGAGAAGGCTATGGAGAAAGCCAATGGAACTCAGAAGGGTGATCCTGCTAAGGGTGCCAGGGCAATGTGGGAACTCGGTAAGAGAACTTTCGAGAGAGAGATAAGCGGAATTATTGCTAACAACTCCTCCACTCACAGCCAAAATGGAGGATCCTCCTCTCCGCACAGTCATTGGTTCAGATGCACACCAAATCGTCGAGGATAAGATTAAGCAGTATGAAAGATTGTACTCCAAGTATAAGGGTTTCAGCTGTAAGTTCGCTGGATTTGCGCGTGAATGCTGGCTAACTTGACCAGACAGCACGGACTACGACAATTGAGCGTCTTATGCCATATATTGATTATACACCCAAAAATTTCCAGGTCGCAATGTCCCAGGACAGATGTTTCCCAGGACTGACTACTAGATCGCGAATATGTCGCTCGCTCCGCCGAGATCGATGTCGTCGCCCCAGCCAAGCACTTTATCAAGGCCATCACCCATACCAAGCAATGGCGCTTCCAGCTGATCGAAGCGCTGTGCATAGCGAGGTCCTAGCTCGAGTTGCAACATCCCACGTCCTCGTGCTCCGTCGGCAAGTAGCAAATCATCCCCAGGTAGATCCAAGCCAGCGCCTCCAAGGCCAGATAGGTCATCCACACCTCCAAGAAGAAGTCGACGATCGCAGGATCTGCTCCTTGCACCTAACCCGCCCAATCCTCCGAGCCCTCCGAGTGCGCCAAGCCCGCCCAGACCACCAAAGCCTCCTAATCCTGTACCTCGATCGATACCGAGCAGATCGCCTCCACCGCCGACGACTGACAGACCCTCGGCTGCAAGTTGCATTCGTTCTGCAACGATCCGACCTTTGTATCCGTGCTGGATCAAGCGCTGCGGGAGATCCGGTCTGATACGGTAGACTCTCCTCAGACACTCGTCTCGCTCTGTCTCTCTCATCACCGCACGCATAATGGCATAGCACCACTGGCCGATGGTGGCGGAGCTCTCCGTAGCCACAATAGTCGTCGCATGCTGAATGAAGAATGTGCTCAGGATACGTCCCAATCTAGCACTTCTGTTGACATGAGAGACTTCTGCTATGGAACGGAACAGATGCTGGCTCCTGCGATACGAGAACGCGGCACCTAGTCCTCTGGCACCGCTTGCGTCGTGTCGCATGTAGATTTCCAAGCGCCTGAGTAGTCCATCTGCGATGTAGACGTCGACGTCGCCAGTCGAGGTGCGTGAAAGATCGTGGAGAACAAGATAGTAGACATCTCGAAGCTCTTCTTCCCTGAGCGGGTTGTATCTTGTTCGAGGGTAGAGCTCTGGACAGTTGGCGACGAAGCGGTCAATGAGGACTTCGGTGTCGCACTGAAGACGCTCGTGCTCGTGGTAGAATTGTGGTAGGAGATTCAGGAGTCCTCGTGGCTGCACTGTGAGCACTGCTCTCTGGACATCCAGAGCATCTCGTGTTTGATATCGTTCTCTCAAAAGTGGGTAAGCGGATGAGACTGTTGGAGCGATGGGCCACATCTTGCCTGAACGACGACTTGCCCAAATGATCTAGTGTCAGCAGGAGAGGAATATAACAGAGGACAGGATGCTGAGATGTCGAGATGATCTGCCGAAGAGGCGGTAAGCAGAAGAATTGTACCGCCTACAGTAGGCATGGTGGAGGATATTTGCACTACCTTGTCGCAACGTGCGCTCCATCAGCCTGCAGCGTGACTGACGGCGTCGTAGGTGAGCCAACAATATGTGTATCACAAGCGTTGAAGCAAACAAAATCTTCTCGTGCCTGTGTGGGACATGACTCCTGCGAGCTCACGTCCAATTGGCGACATCTCCTCTTGTTCCGCGGAATACATTTCGGCTCCAGTAAATGGGTCATCGCGAAGCAGATGTATCATTCATCGTGGCGAGAAGTAGCTACCTACGTTATGTACGGTCTCCTGGCTTAGTCAGCATTTCTTCGCCGTTAAACTTCTCGAAGTCGCTGCTACTCTCATTTCCTTGCAACCCTTCCCAGAATGCCCAAGATACCGAAGAAAGCGCAGACAGAGGGATCGACGACATTCGATCCGGATACATTCTTCGAATCATGGCGAAAGGAAGAGATCACGCCTCCATACGATAATGACTTCAGAAAGTTCGTCATCAAGGCGTTCGGCCTCAGTCCTAGAGACACTTATGCCTACCGAGCGACCGCTGAAGTGACACTGCTACAAGCGCAGACGTACATGGAATTCGGCGCACAGAACGGTCTGCATGGCTGGTACAGAGACAGTGAAGGTCAACTTGTAAGCACAATCAGATACCGTGAGCCTCGAGATGGTGTCTCATAGAAACATAGCCCTAAGAGCGTGCTCAGAGAAATGCTCCCAATGCTACGGACATCGCTGCGTACACCGACATATTCCGCCCGACGACGAACACTTCCAAAGCGCTGATCGCGTTGGCATCGAACGCGAAGAAAGAGACGATACGGGCTGATGTAGCCAAGCATCTGCAGTCCCTCTATGCGCCGCCGGACTCTTCGCTGAAGCTAGTGGTCAACAAGTCCAAAACACACGTGAATCCATCGTTTGATGTATGGGCTTGGTCAAACCAGAATCTGGAGTGGGCAGGCCCTGAAGCGAGTACTGCCAACATTAAGATTAGCCACGCCATTTTGCCGGTGCTGTATCACCACTTCGGCTGCGTCACGCCATCGTACGAGGCATTGTCCTATATTCAGCAGATCGCTCGTGGGCGCACGATTCTGGACATTGGCAGCGGGAATGGGTACTGGGCGTATATGCTCCGTCGCTTCGAGAGCAACGCTAAGAAAGCGCTGAAAGTCACCGCTGTCGACAACGGCCTAAGTGAATGGAGGACAATGTGGATTGGTGACACCATAGAAGCCGACGGCTATTCATGGCTTCAGCAGAACCAGGGCGGCAAGGATGGCGTCCTTCTGCTCGTCTATCCCATGGTTGGGGAGGACTTCACCTCAAAGATGATCAAGGCCTACAGTCAGTGTCTTGTCACAATCGCTCGAGTATAGGCACAGCTGACGTCTCGGTCGCAGAGGGCACGACTATCATAGCAGCGGGCTCGCAAAACGGCAATGGCTACACTGCTTTTGCCAAAGAAACCATCGATGCCTGGGTGGCACGAGAAATGCCTTCATGGAGCAAAACGCTACAAATCCCTCTTCCTTCGTTCGCAGCCAAGGATGAGGCTCTATTCGTTTTCGAGAAGATAGAGGCCAACGGGCAAGGCGGAAACGGGGCTTGATCAAAGCAACACAATACAAGAAGGCGCCTCGAATAGCATCGCAGCGCAAACGAGTCAGCGTGGCTACGAGAAAGCACTTGTTGAGGATGCGATGGTGGTGTCGGAGGCACGTGCTCATATGCATGTTGCTCGGTTTGGCTGGGCCTTATTCCCCAGTATTCCCATCGCGCTCCCGTAGAAGCTAGAAGTAACCAGTTAGAATATGTGCATCTGCCGTGGAAGTGGCTCGACGGCAAAGCTCGCTTTCAGTTCTTGATGCACTCTCATTATTGACCTTCCATTCTCACCAGACTTGGACCATCAGCAGCATTATGACACGGGAGGTGAAGGCTGGCAGCAGTCGCGCGCTGCTCGAGAAAGTGTGCACCTCGGCAATTGAAATGGTGCTGGCAATCGCCCCCTCTCCAGAGCCTCACTGTCAAGGAGGATGGCAAGCTCCGTCATGCTGTGTCGTCCTGACTATGCTAGCTTATTCCCATCTATACCGCACCCATTCGAACCCCACTGGCACGGCTCAGGATACAGCAGATGCAGGTGGCACCATATGATGAGGAAGCCAAAGCCACACTGCCCACTGTGGCTGCTGCCGATGACCATGCAACTGGCCTGGCGACCAATCTGAATCATGGCACTGTGCGAGAGAGAAATGCCTCTCTGACCGTCGCCTCTCCCAGTCGTGCTACTGCCGCGACGCATGTTACTGCACGCGATGATGGCGCTCGTGTGAAACCGAAGCAGAAGCGCAACAAGCCAACGTTGTCGTGTCTGGTAGGCCTGAAGACGTGTTGCAGAAGCTCGAACTTTGCTGATACCTGTCTTGTTGAATAGCTGTGTGTCTCACACAAAACAAAATGCGATCGTGGTAGGCCCAGGTGCGATCAGGTGCGAGATGCATACCATTTTACTTACTCTCACGTCTAGGTCGCCCGTGTCTGGCGTGCGTCAAAAGACAGTCCCGATGTGAGTACACAGCTGTTGCAAACTTGATCGCATCTGCAGACCGCAAGGACGGCGGGAGCAAAGCCAGATATGTCATGAAGCCGCCCAGTAAAATCGGGAAGACAAGCCATATCACATCGCCTTCTGGATCACACACATCACCCACTGCCACAGATAATGGCTGGCCAAATACGGAGGGTCGATCGCAATTGTCTCCCATGTCTCCGGCTTCACAGACGGAATCACCATATCTATATTCCACCCTTCCATATTCCCAAAGCTCGCCCAGCAACGTCTTTGGCGTTGGTTCTCAGCATCCATTTTCGAATTACTGGACTTGTCAAGGTGGTCTACCAGAGGTCATCACAGTGCTTCCCAGCAAACCACAGGCCGATATACTAGTGGCCAAATACTTCGAAGTTGTGGACCCCGTCTATCCATTCTTGCATCGACGAACATTCTATTCAGATTACGAGCTGTTCTGGGCACTTTCGATGGAAGAGAAAGGCAAGACAGATGCCTCGCTGATTGCTCTACATTATGCCATCTATGCTCTTGGTACGCAATTCATGCAGTTCACGCCTTACGAGGAACGATCGCAAACCGCAGAATTCTACTGCTCGGCTGCAAACCAGGCTTTACGAGTCTATTCATATCTCAACAAAACATCCATGCGAGCCATACAGGCAATGCTGCTCATGGCATATTTTCTCATGAACGACAATCATGCATCAGACGCATACGCCTGGGCGGGAATTCACCTCCGGCAGACCTATGCCTTACGACTACATCGGGATCCTGAGATCGTTGTGCCCCAAGCCTCAACATTAGAGAAACAACAGCGCCGGAAATTGTGGCAAGCAGTCTTTTTCCAGGATACATTTTTGACCATCCTTCTCAAGCTGCCTCCTACAGCAACCCATAGCGACGTGCCGGTCGAGTCTCTCGCGGACGAGAACGAGCTGAGCAATGACGGACTAGATGTCTGCTTGGGAGCACATTCGCGAATCGAGAACCTCATGAGCATCAACGTTATAGCACCGCAAGTGCCACAACCACTGCCACCTCCTCAACCACATCACATCATCGACCAAGCCACCGCCAAGTCGGACGTTGCCTACATGAGAAGCATGTGGCATCTCGGAAACCTTGTTCAGGAGAATTTGGCGTCTCCACTGTCCCTATCCTTGCCCATTGCGAACAGCCCAAGACAGAAGGAGTCATTGGTCGCAGCGTTCCGCAGGCTGTACAAATCATTTCCAGCGCAACTTACCATTTTGGACTACAATGTCCTGCAACAACAAGCGCAGAACAATTCTCGGGCCGTGCGGCAGAACCTTTTCCTGACATCCAACTATTTCCACTGCCTGGCATTACTGCAGATGGCGGAGAATAAAGAGCAAGGCGTTGAGGCGAACGTCAAAGCCGCATTGGAGGCTGCACACGAAGCATTGTGTGCCTTCTTCAAGCTGTGGGGCTTATTTGAGGTCGAAGCAGGTGTTTGGTGGGTATTCCAACATCGGGCCTTCGAAGAGGCTCTTTTGATCGTCAAGTCTCTGGCGATCCCACCTCCACCAGAGTCTCCATATGATGCTGCTATCTATGCCAAGGGCAAAGAAGATATTGGAAGAATGTTGGAAATCATGGAGCGTTATGGCGGGAATTTGGAAATGCATACGACGAGAAAGGAAGTCTTGCGAGAAGCATTTGAAAGGATAGTGGTATGACAAAATGTGTATCAATGTGCAGAGGAATGTCGATGATCTGTCTTGGCTGGATCCCTACCATGCTCTCTAGTACTTCAATGTCCCTGGCTCAGAATAGCAGGGCTTCTGCTCAGCGCACACGGCGTTGAACGCAGCAAGCGAGCACACCATGGCTTCACCTGCCCAGTACCACACTGCTCAGCCTTTAGCCTCTTCTTGCGAGAATGTCGCCTCATCGTGAAATCATCAGCAGATCCACCGTCATCAACGAGCCATCCAAGTTGAGGACCACAATTTTTCAGTATTGGAAAGAAAAAAAAAACAATTGATATTCAGTCCCATCTGACTCTCTCTCTCTCTTTCAACGGCAGAGTCGATCGAGCTGACTGACAAGCACCTCGGATAACGTGTGCAAGGAGGACTTCGTGATGCCACCCTCTTCGTTAGCGCGGATTTGTAAGCACCTCGTCGTTTTGTATCGATACTTCATCGAATTAATATGCGCCCTACAGCGATGCGATTGTACTGATTTTTACACTAAAATAATCGCAGCATCCGGTTCTATAATTCTACAATCGTTGCTAATGTATTATAATAGAATGTAGTAATATAGAAATAGGTAGTATAAAGCCTAGTCGAACAGCTAAGTGCCGCTAAGCCAAGCTCGGCAACCTCCGAGCTTCTATAAAAGGGTGGAATTGGGCTAGCTACTAGCCCTCGACACTAAGAACACACTATCTATACTATATATAGACATACTAAATAGCGCAAATAAAGGGTCTTAATATATATAACAAGTATATACAATATAAAGATAAAGTATTATAGAACGGTAATAGTGCAATAGTAGATATATATGCTAGAAAGCTAGCTTCCCTAAATTCGGACTTTAGCCGAAGCCGCTATTCTAAGTGTACTCAATCGACCGAGATACGTCGATTAAGTACACTTTCAACAATTAATAGGTGTTTCTCGGCTTCTAATTAGTCGACGGCTTTTCTATTAGATTTAGAGAGCTCTAGGCGGCTTTATTATCCCTAAAGAAGCCCCTGTCGTATATGTCCTATATAGATAACTACTCCCTATTTAAACGTAGATTAGCTTGCCGCGGATCGAGGAGTTCGACGTCGCTATTATCTTCTACTAAGAATAGAACCTCACCGTCTAGTTTATCGTTAGTATTATTCGCCTCCTATTTAACCTCGTCCGTTAGGTCTACTATATAGTTAAGCGTAAGGAGGGCGTCGATAGCGGCCTTATTAGCAACGTCCGCCTTACTTGCTATCCGCTTAAGTATAGCAATCTTCTCTTCGGCTGTCTTAAGCTTAGTCTACTTAGTCTGCTATAGGTCTTTAGCGTGCTTAGTAACCTTCTCGGCTTGTTTAAAGGCCTTAACTCGAGCCTCGAGTTGCTATATATATTAAAGGGCTTTACTAACGTATATTGAAGCCGCGTTTGTAGGTAAGCGCTTACCTATTATAAGATACCGGATATCTCGCATATGCTAGCTCTCGGTCTTATAAGCTACTTTATACTCCTTCCGCAACTAAGTAAGCTTAGTAACAAGGTAAATACGCTCCTTACGAGCCGTCCTATTCTATTAAGCGGTAAGGGTTAACCTTCGCTTGCGTATAAGCTAAAGGGCTCTAAGGTCTTCCTTTACTAATTGTCGGAGCTTCTCGTATTCGGACTTCTAAGTAGCCTCCGCTAATATAGAGTCTACAACGTCCATTATATAGACCTTAGCTTTGCTAATAACGTGTTCAAGCTCTTTATTGCGTATCTTCTGTCTAAGGGTATGCCGGAGCCCTTCATTCTCTCGGACAATTATATAATATTGGTTAAGGAGCACCTAAGCCGCCTTAACTGTCTTCTTGAACTTATTAACAACTCGTTTGTTACAGACAGCTAGTTATAGGCCGCAGGTGTAAGGTAGGTAAGTATACCCGAGGTTGTTAAAGGTAGATTGTAAGCTCTAGAAGTCTACCTTCTCAGCCGTTGTCTTTAGTCGTTTATAGCTTATTAGTATAGAAGGATTGCTACTAAATAGGAGGCGCTTTACTAGCGTAACCGGTTGCTAGCGGAGTTCTTATAGTAGTGGCCTTCGTAGCGTTAGCAGTAGACCTGTAACTGGTATTCTTGCTGCCGGTAGTATATTAATTAGTAACGATTCTATCCCTTCTTGCCGCCGCAGTAGTAGAGGTATTATAGGCCGAAAGGACCGTAGAAGCTTGCTAATTACTCGCTCTGCGTCGACTGGCACTATACCTATCCCTTTAAAGGCCTTCGTTATAATCTTAGGTATAAAGACTTCTTCGTATAGGTTAGAGTAAATTTCTAAGAAGTCAGTCTTAGTAACGATTACTAGACTATAATCGGTACAGCGCTGCATTAACTGGCTCGAATAGGCTAGTTTGCAAGGTCTAAATACGCTATAATCCAAAGGTTGGCAGTAAGCGGTTAAATAGCTTAGAAGGCATAAGCATAGTATACGATTAGCTAAGGCATACTATAGGAAACTAAATAACTTGTAACTGTCGTAACCGTCTATTATTAGCAATCGCTATTTGCCTTCTTTGCTCGGAGGGCAACGGATATTATAATGCTATATCTATTGAGCGGCAATCTCAGTATTAGACTAGCTATTGTTAGTTATAGCGAAGCCAGCACCTATATACTAGAATTAGCGCTAGAATTGCCGCAACAACGCTTTAGTAACCTATCTCGCCTTAAATACGAAGAATGGAGGTATATAATAACTATCGGCTCGAATAGCTTTAATAGTTGTTATCTACTTACGACCGCTAGGTTGTCGTATAAAGGTAGACCTAGCTTTACGCGTATAAATAACGATCTAGAAGTTGCGCTCGTAACAACTAGTAAGGTATCCGGCTTCGTTAAAATTGGCTATATCTTCTACTGCAATATTATACTCTTTTATCGTATCCGCTAGCTTCTTAAAGTATTTAATTAGTACCTCTAGATTATTAGTAACGCTGCGGCGGTAGTGGTCTATTATAGTAGTCTACCGAAGGCGTAGGTCGTCGTCTTGTTTAACGAAGCGAGCCGGCTAGTAGACGCCTATAGGAGGTGTTGCAAGAGGGTTGTAATCCGGATCTATAGCAAGTATCTACTCTGCCTACCCTCGAATAGTCTTATACCTTAGTAGAAACCCTATTCCGATTATTCTTAGTATTAGCTCTTTTAGAGTAGCTCTTTATATGCTATTTAGTCGCTTCTAGCCCTCTCTATATTGTACGGAGCTATTATAGAGGCTACGGACTCGGTCGTTAAAGGTTATATAGGGGATTTCGAAGTCCTAATAGTAGGCGACTTTAGACTCGTATTCGCCGGCTCGGAAGCGCTCGATTGCCCTTCGGAGCTTCGCTTCTTTATCAGATAAGGAAAGGGCATTCTAGGATAGATATTTGGACTTTATTTTGTCGCTATTATAATAGTGTATAGCCGGTTAATAAAATTAAATAGTATAGTCGCATTTGCGACCGTAGGAGGTGTTGCTTATCGAGGTTCGCGGAGGTTGCCGCTTTCTAATCAATGCTAAACTAACTACTAATCGTTTAGCGTCTACCGGAAACAGCTAGCAGCGGCCCTTCCTACCACGCTAACGAAGAGGGTAGCATTACGAAGGCCTCCTTGCACACGTTACTGTCTGTACATCAATCAGGCCGAGCTCATCCATCAATCTCATGTGGATCCGCTCATCAATCAATAAATAACCATCCCGAACCAAACCAAACCAAGCCGAAAGAAAGAAATGTCCCCAAAAAGCCCTCATCATCCCCCTTCCCATCCTACCCCCCCCCCCCCCCCCCCCGACGCCCCGGAATGGCCAAAACACAAACTACGAAACCTTCTACTCCCCAAAAACCTACAAAACAACCCCTCCGCCAACAACTTCGTGAATCTTTGGAGGGCGAAAAAAAAATTTAAGGCATTTTTGTTTTTGGTTTTTTCGAAGTTGGGGTGGCAGTTTAGGGAGTTGAGATGTTATTATGATATATGAGGAGTATATGGAGAAAAGGCTTTGGGAGGGAAGTTGAAGTTCGATGGCCTTGTTTCGAATGGGACCTAGGTCAGCGAGATCCATACGTACCAATTGTCAGCCAGACTGTCAAGCCCAGATGGAGAACTTCTAGGTGTATGGTTGAGGAAAAGCTTCAATTTTTTTCTAGTTCTATGCATCATCAGTCGAACCACAATCCACAAAGTAAAGCAAAGAAAAAAGTTGATTTTGGGTAGTGCGTGTCCTTCATGCCATGCTTTGTCCGTGTCCAGGTCATCATAAACCATCACAATCCACTCCCTTGACGCCGAGCCACATCTATGCACTTATATCATGAATGCGCGCCTGGAGTCGCCATCGCTTCGGGAAACATCACCTAAGCCGCCTCCTCGACGTCTGCAGGCTTCTCGCCCTCTGCGTCAGCTGGAGCATCCTTCATCTCCTCGTCCTTCTGCTCTGCCTTCTTCGCCTCCTCTGCGGCCTTCTTCTGCGCCTCCTCTGCCTTGCGTCTCTCCTCCTCAGCTGCTCTTCGCTTAGCCGCAGCTTCTTCCTCCTTGGCTCTCCGCGCTTCCTCTTCCTCTTGGCGCTTGTCGTTGAAGCGCTGAATGATCGGGCCAGCAGAAGCACGGAGCTCCTCGATCTTGGCAACATACTGCGCTTTGGTGGCATCATCACCCTCGTCGTACAGCCAGTCCTATAATTGCAGTCAGTGCATTGTCCTGAATGGAGTAGGTGACATCATCAACATACCTCGAGTTGTTCGCACTTGTCGCGGACCTTCTGCTTCTCATCGTCGTTTGCGAAGTCAGCGTAGCCATTGCTTGAGTACGGCTCGTCGATCTTGGCGCGCATGGAGTAGATCTCCGATTCAAGCTCGTTCTTCTTGTCCTCGGTCTCAGCCACCAACTTGTCCTCAGCAATCATTTGGCCTTCCTTCTCCATGAAGAGGTCCTTTGTTGATTGGTCAAGTGATGCGGTGCCAGCAGACAGCGGAAGATCTCCCTTGCGGACCTGCTTCTTGACCTTGCGGGTCTTCACGGGTGGCTTGGCATCGCCATTGGCTTGGTCGGTGTCCATTGCCTGTCGAGCCGTCAGCAATGGTTCAGTCCTTTGGCGCTTGGCGGCGCGCTCTTCGCGTTCATTGATTTGAAGATTCGACATGTTGGCCGCTGTTGCCTCTAATGCCTTCGCCTCCTCTTCTGTTGAAACAAATGCAAAACGCAACGCTCGGGCTGTACTCACATCACCATCCTTCTTCTCTTCCTTCGCCTCAGGTATAGGCTCCTCAATTTCCTGCTCTTCAACAAAGTAGCCTTGCTCAACATTCAGCACACCGTGAAGATTCAGGCGTGCCTTTAGCTTGCAAATCATGAAGTCGTCCTTTCCTTCCGCCTTGACGCCCTTGACGCTGAAGCGACCAATCCATGGGTTGATCTTTCCGGGGAGTAGTTCAGGCTTGGCGTATTTGGCTTCAAGGTCAAACGGCTGTTTTCGGTAGAAGGTGAGGATCTTGGTGGAGGGGAGGGCGTTGCCCTTGTTAAAGACGGTCAAGCTGGTGTCCTCATCTGGAATGTCTGGTGACTTTTCCCAAGCAAACTCGATCGGGTAATTGACAATGTCCTGCACGCTGAAGTCGCGAACTCGGAAGACTGGAGACAAGATGGCGCAGCTGAAGGCGCAGCCACGAGCAATGGCTTCGTCAGCGTTGAGAGTGAAGTTGAGGGGCTTGCCGAAGAACTGCTGGATGATGGCCTTGAGAGATGGCACTCGTGTGCAGCCACCAACAAGCTCGATGTAGTCGATATCTTCGGCCTTCAGCTTAGCCTCAGCCAGAGCCTGCTCGAGAGGAAGGTGTGCACGGTCGAGAAGTGGCCTCACGAGTTCTTCCAGCTCCTCTCGCTTAAGCACACCACGTACGTCAACGTCGTTCATGAGAGACTCAATGTTGATTGGTGCCAGAGCGTTGGCCGAAAGAACCTTCTTCAGCTTCTCCACGGCCGCGGCGACACGGACGCGAGCCTTGGGGTTCTCGTAAATGTCGATTCTATTTTTTTCTTTGAATTCATTTCGGAAATGCTCGATAATAGCCTTGTCGAAGTTGCGTCCTCCAAAATGCCTATCGTAAGCAGTCGAGACGACCTTCAGCTCGCCCTTTCTAAACTCGCAGATGGAGCAGGTATAGTTGCTGTGACCAATGTCGATGAAGGCCACGCGGCGCGGCTTCTCCTCTGGGCCAGGCAGATCTGTCTTGGTGATACCGTATCCGAGCGCGGTGGCTGTTGTCTCGTTGATCAGACGCAAGACCTTGAGTCCGGCGACCTCAGCAGCGTCTAGAAGGCCTCTGCGCTGTGCGTCTGTGTACCATGCGGGGACTGCGATCACCATATCGTTTACTGGCAGTCTCAGCTCTTTCGCGGCGGTCTCGCGTGCCTTGGTCAGGAACATGGCGATGAGCTGGGTGGCGGAGAACTTCTGCTTCTGTCCCATGTACGACACCTCGGCGCCCACCTGGCCATTGACCTCGACCAGCGGGGCCGAAACAAATTCCTGCTCGATCTGCACATCGGGGTCGTTGAGCGAGCGGCCGGCGAGGCGCGAGAGGGAGCCGACGGTGTTCTTGAGGTTCGATACCTCTTGTGTCTTTGCCGATTCGCCAAGGTATCTGGCTCGTGGACCAAAGCCGACGAGAGTTCTGCGAAATGATCAGCATGTGAAATTTGCATGTGACAGTGCTGAATGTGGTACTCACGGGGTTGCGCGGTTGGAGACCTCATTGGTAATGACATCGACGCCCTTGTTCCGGGCGACAGCCTGGTATCGTGTTAGCTGGCATGACATGCGCGCAAGTGTGGATGCAGCTTCTGCCTTACAATCACGCTGTTCTGCGTTCCGAAATCCAAGCTGGAGTGCTGTTAGCGGCATGGTGATGGTGTTGGGATGCAGGAATGGGCTACTCACCCTACGACCGACATCGTGGGCGACTATGGGGTGTGGTATGTGTATGCGGTATGGAGGGGGTGTGTGGTTGCAGGCGCGTGGGTGTGGGTGTGGGTGTGTTGGGAGAAAAGTTTACGGCGGGTACTCAGAAGTTGCTCGCAGTGACGCAAAACAATTCTAATGCTCGCTGGAAAGTGCGATCTCGCATCAGGAGTCAAAATTCTGCCGAGAAGTGCTTGTGAGTGGCAGCATGTGCAAGGCGAGGCCGCTCTAAGTGGGCTGCTCTTCTATCATCGACTCTCGACTCGCTGGCATCCATCGCACTTCTGTCGCGAAGCCTCTCGAAGCTACTGTGCTGTCTGTGCAAGAACTGCAGCCCCAAATTTCAGGCACGACGGGTGACGGAGAAACATATCTTCCGCATCCAACCCAGGCAACCCGGGGCCACTCACTCACTTTCGCGCAGCACATCAGACTCGACGGCAGATGTCAGTCAATCTTTGCCTCACACGTGAGAAGGTGCTCGGGGTCGCCATTTGCTTCACGCTACATCATTGGCTATGCGCTTGTATGCACGCTCTTCCCTGCCCTGCCCTGCCCTGCCTCCTCGTCACGCCAGCAACAGCTTATCCAACAGCAACTGGTATTCATTACACTTCTGAAGCCGTGCTCCCAATACAGTAGTCTCACCTAGCACCGCCAGCATCTTCCTGTCAAAAGCTGGCCAAAAGACTACTTCCGAAAAGATGGAGTAGCTCGGCCATCCTCCCGCAATCTCCGTTAGACACGTCGCAATGCCGCGCTGGCGGCGCTGCTCCATTTCATCTGGATCTGGGCCCTCCCTGCCAACGCACGTCTTTCCGCCGTGCAAGCCCGAGGCCGAGCACTTCATCCTTGTCTTCCGAAACCCTCACTTGTTTCCGACACCGAGTGCCATTCCCGACCGAAATGTGGCGCTGTAGGGCCTTACTCATCATCAGTCAATACATGTCCACGGAACGACTTGCACTCGTCTTTGCCAAGTGTCTGGAAACTCAAGGATGCCATGTGTTGTAGCATGCTTCGCTAGCATTGAAGCGCGCCCATATTGTGATGCTGCCACGGGTATGGCTGCGAAAGCATTTCCTCCAAACAAACCCTAACTCATCAAGGTCATACACTGTGTGAAATAGTCGCTGAGGCCAATGCGTGCCTCCCAGCTCTCTGACCATATCCACTCTGCGCTATGACTTTCGAACCGAGCATGCTGTTGATGCCCTCTTAATCCTCTCTCCTATCAGCGTGAAAGAGTCTGACCCGATGCCGTGATTGATGATCATCAGAGTGAGGGGTTCATGGTACCTGCCCCAACAGTCGGTATATTTCATCTGCCTTCTAAGCTGGGGGCACCGTGTGGCAAGGTGCATACTCGCATGCATGTTTGCTCCTAAGTCATGCACGAATTTCAGTTCATTCCTGCATGTCCACAGCTGCGGTGTCTGCTGGCAGTTCCAGGCGCTTCCGTTTGGTCGCTCGTGTGGCAGTGGTGCTGTCTTTTGATGCATGGACGCTCATGGTGAACACACGTTCTAAACTTGCTCAGTTCCTGACAGAAACAGCATTGCTCATGGCATGGTTCTCCTGCATCGCTTACCTATCGCTGCGCTTCTCGCTCGTGGTATATGTCTTTGATCTTGCCCCGGATGCACGATCTTGACCTGCTGCTTGCCGTGGTTAATCCTCGCCATCGTGGACTTAGGAGCTCTGGTAACCCAAACAAACAGGATATCTGGGTCATTGCCCTGATGCCGGGCCAGTCCTGGATGTTGAAGGCGAGCAAGACCGACCTTGTTGCACTTTCCCCATTAATCAATTGTAGGGCTTTCGGCTTCACAAGTAGAGTAATGACATCAAGATTCCTCACGCAATCAAGGACGAGCAGAACATGATGAACCAAGTTCGCGAGGCCAAATCTGGCGATGTAGTGCCAGACATAGAATGCAATTTGGGCGTCGCGCCCACAAATTCTATTGATGGCTCCGTGCACACACAGATGCATTGACCAAGTGACCCAAAGACCGGGTATGTACAGCATTTCCAGAGCGTTCCTGCATTAGTTTCCAGGTTGCGCAATGCGATCTGCAACACAGTGGGAACGTCATTGCGAGCCGCGAAGCCATGGCGAACTGGTGCAAGAGTCTTCGCTCCACCTGCGATGTTGTGTGTGTGAGTGCTACGTTACACCCGCCTAAAGGGTTCGAGGTTCCTTGGACGTTCGATTCGGTCTCGGCGTAGCCGAGTTGGAGGGAGGTTCGAGGTCGATCAAGGAAGCTGGCGAAGGGGGGGGTCAGGCCATTGTCTCGGCTTTTTCGGCAGTCCTTTTCATCCAATGCTACTGTATTCTTCCGAGATTGAGGGACGTTCATCGTCATCTGTGGCCACCTGCCGGCATCCCTTTAACCGCCTCCGTGGTTAAGTCCGTCGAACACCTACCCTGGCTCTGCCCTTGTCGGGTTCCACCTTCTATGCTAAATCCGGTGTGGCCCCATACAAACCTGCATCGCCCCTCGAACAGCGATGCTGTCCGATTGGGCTTCGGGTTCTTCCGTAGTAGAGCTGAAGGTTAGGAAGCCGACACCTTCACGAGTCGTCCTTTACAGCTGAAGGCTCTGCAGCCATCAAACCTTAGCAAGTAAAGGAATACAATACCGCCTAGCATACCAAGTAGAAAGGTTTATAGACTGTTTCTGTAGATGAATATAGACTAATATGTAATAGGGCCCTATCCGCTTCCGCTTAATAGAAGAGTTAAGACAGCGCCGTAGACTACGTTCGAATAGTATAGAATTGACCGTAGAAGAGGTCTATAAATTAGTGCCGCTAGCTAGTCTATTGAAGCTGCGTTTGTCCACCGAGAATAAGCGCTATAAGGCACTTATTAAGCGTATCTCGAAGCTCGAGTTGTTAGTAAAGGACTTAAGGGTAGACCTAAACCTAGTAAACTAGTAATAGGCGGAGTCGGCGCGTACGGCAAGTAAGGTAAAGGAAGAGTTACTGTCCGACGTAAAAGGCCCTTAAAGCGAGGTAGAGGTTGTTAGCGCAGCGGAGTTTAATTAGCTATAGCTAGAAGTAGATAAGCTAAAGAATAAGGTTGTTAAGTTAAAGGCGGTACTAAAGAGCCTATTATAGGCATAGGTAAAGGTCTTCGAGCCGGCGTTGAGGCTTCTAACGTAGAAGGTTGCGGTCTAATAGCAGTAAAGAAGGCTACTAAGTCCGGTTAGCTATGCTATATAGGCTCGCAACTACTATAGATAGCAATAGGACTATAGTAGTTATAGGCTATAGTTGTCTAATGTTCTTACTTGCCGCTAAGAGGCTACTACTTGAAGCTAAGAGCTGTTCTTACGTACTTATAGAGATAGTAACGCTGTCGTAGAAGCATAGGCTTTATTAGGTAGACTGCTTGTCTACTACGCTCTATACGCCGTTTCTCTTTAACTGTAGGTAAGCTATCGCCTTTCCTAATCTAATAGCGCTTAGATCTTCTACCGCTACGATTGTAGGTGTATCCGGAGATGAATTAACTAGCGCTTCGAGGAGGTAGTAGAGTTAGTATACGAAGCGCTCTTACCGAGGCTTCTATAGCCTCTTAAGCGTTCTTCTCGCTCTATACCTTACGGACTATTTGCTACGCTAATTTAACTCTAAACTCGCGTTAGAAAGTAAAGTCTTTATTTGTCTTATCGCCTCGAAGAAGTATATATACGTTAACAATAGCGGCATTAAGTAGGAAGTAGAAGAGTAGATACTAACCCTTCCGTAACTTATACTAAGAGGAACAGTAGAACCGGAGCTAGTTATAGATATCTACGCTACCTATACTATTATTATAGCGAGCGGCGATGCTTAGTAATAGCTTGAGTTCTCGCTCTTCTTTCTAGTAAGGTCGTACGTAGTTATCGATAAAGGCGTTGTTATAGGCTCGTAGGCGTACCCTAAGGCGATTTTCTCGGCTTCGAGGATCAATAGCGTTTATAAGGAACTAAACGAGATTTCTGTCCTACTAGATAACCGCCGCTATACTATAAATTACCTTGTATAATAGGGTATCGAATAGGAAACGAGTCGTCTTGCGATTTAGTAGTAGAAACGTTGATTTCTTCCGCTTTCCATTTTTTAGAAGCTAACCTAACTTCTCGAATTTAGCGCCTCTCTAAGGCTACGATAAGGAGCCGGATCGCATAGTGCTAGTCGTAGCAATTCCGAGATACTTTAGAATAGCGAATAGGACAACGTTATTAAACAGATTGTCTATAAAGACGTAGAAGTAGTATGTTTAGAATAGAAGTTATAGCAATAGTCGAAGGATAGCGATTCTTAGCGGGCTTAGCCTTGCGCTAAGATTAAGTCTATAGGCGTAGTTAGTCGGTTGTATGCTACTAGGCTCGCTTACGGCGCTTTCCGAGCTTTCCGTGCTTTCCGACTAGTTAGCGCCCCTCGAGTAGAAGTCGACTTTTATTTTATTAACCTCGTAGATACTACTTATTCTATTACAACCACTACCCCTAGCAAGGCTATTAAGCCTATCTCGACGCCTCTTATTACTCTCCTTCGCGCGGTCGACTATTTTAGCGCTAGTAAGCTGCTTACGAACGATAACCGGCCGCTTAAGAACCCTAGTTACGAATTCGTCTGTTTCGGCTTCCTAAGAGTGTTGCTTTCGAGGGCTTAAGAATAAGAAGGAATATAGGTATCTACCTTTATATAGGCAAAGGACATAGTATCCGATAGGCGTCGGCTTGCCTCGCATTATTATAATGTAACTAGACCGCCCTATAAACCGGATTATAGACTCGTTAAGCGATACATTAGTTCTAGGCATAACGACAGTCTTAAACCTATCTCGCAATAGGTCGGCTAATAGCAATATCTACGCCTACGCGGGCAATCTAGAGCCTCTTAGAATAGGACTTCTATACTGCAGAGCGGCCTTGATCTGTCGGAAGCGCTACTTACTTATATATTTAGCGATTGCGTAGACTAGCTAGTATTTGTCGTCCCTCTAGTAATCGGACTTATCGGCTATTTAGATCGCGGATATGTAGATAATAAGGGCTACGAAGATTATTATATCTTCACGCCCTACTAGTTTCTAAGGGTGTCTAGATATAACAATCTTAGGCCTCCTATTGCGGCCAATTCGGGGGTTTCTAGCTTTGTCTATTTTGAACTCCTCTCGGGTCTCTATATACTCGTTAGTATACTTTACTAACCTGTCTATAACCTTATTAGTCTATAGGAGGTTAAAGAACTCGTACTATACGTCCTTAACCTCCGAGAGGTTACCTTATAGGTAGATAGGTAAGTTAACCTTCCGCTAGTGCTTAGTCGCTACTAATAGCTTAAATTGGTCTTCCTTTAGGTCGTCTTCTATCGGATAATAAAGGCCTCCGGCTCTGTTGTCGCTACTAACAGCCTCAATTGTATCGTCCTTATTTCTAGCACTATATAGCTCCTATTCTAATCTACGAGGCACCGCATTTATAGCCCTCTCGAAGACCGGACCCTTAGTATGTAAGTGTACGTACTTATCGTACTTAATAGGGTTACTATAAGCCTTATCTACCTGTTATAACTACCCTTAGTCGTTGTCTTCTTTATTAGCTTCCGCCGTATCGACTATAGTAGCTTAGAAGCGGTCTATTTAGCACTGCTAAATCAGCTGGTTTAACTTTACGGTTTGAACCTTCAAGAGTTAGTTTTCAGTCTCCGAGTGCGGCGGCACTGAAAGCGGCATAGTCACATGCTAAACGAGTCCAATGGAAGCCCTGGTATTTACATGCAAGGTGCTATTCTAAAAGCTGACTATGTGGACACCGCAGGGGGGAATGCCTGTTTAGCCGACGAACGCTCCGAGGCGACGAGTTAACCAAGGGGATGTGTCAATCAAGACTTGAAGCAAGGAGCCGATATTGAGCCATCTCTGATACCACGTCAGATGCTGGTGAGGGCCATCTGAGACGGTACAGCAATCCCAAACAGTTTGCCGTCAGAGCGGCCTGTACAACCAGAAGTATGAGAAAGTCATATTCAATAAATATGATCAGCCGAACTCCAGTTCAGAGGAAATCATGGCGAAAGGCTGGCTGTAGGAAATTAGGACAGCATGGGCCAAGGCCGAGCATCTCCATGCTGGAATCTGGGGCTTGCTATGCACGACGGCTGTTTGGGTGACGTTCACGAGCGCCATTGCCGCAGCTTGATGGATGCCAGAGATTGACGAGGCGCTTGTCTAATTCTTTGAGTTTTGCGAATGTGAGCTTTCCGCTTCGCGCCACTGCTGCAGGTGGCAGGTGGCAGGTGCGCATGTCAAGCGCGTCGCAAAAGCTGCCGCCGGGCGCCAATGTGCGCATGAGAGTGCGAATAACAGGAGCTTGGGTATGACAGGTGTAGGATAGAGACATGCTTCCCAGGGATGCGATGTGAAGTTCTAGGCGTGGCTGCATCGGTCGTCGGTCGTCGCCATTTCGAACCGGGTAGCAGGGACGTGACCGACTTGCAGGTATGGACCTGTCAGTAGTAGTCAGCGTGCGCTAGTGTTCCCATGGCAGTGATGCCGCCGAGGGATTGCAGAAGATCGCATTCCATGAAGAAGGAGCGTCAGTCACACACACGGTCGGCGGCGGTAAGGCAGTGGTGGGTGGTCGGCGTGTGCTAGCGCGGTGCAGCAGACATGTCGCGGTCGAAGCAGCGCAGAGCAGCGCAGCGCAGCGTCGGCGGGCAGACCGCCTCGAAATGCATTATGCAGCATACTCGCCGCGAGCGAGCCAGTCGGCAGATTGGCCGAGGCACAGTGCTCGAACAGTCAGAACAGAGTCGGCAGACGCGCGGTGCGCTCAGGCGCTGACAAAGGCTCCAGCGTGCATGGCGCCGGGCATTGCCATCGACCGTGTCTTGGCGTTCGTGGCGCCTGCAAGGCTGCTGCAGCGTTCTCCTTGCGGCATGGCATGCATGCCACACGCTTCTTTGGACGTCTTGCGTGCGAAGTGATGCCTGTCCTCGTTGGTCTGGTGGCCCAGGGCCAGTGAGGGCCGCGCACCTGCACAGTGTACCGCTGTGGGATGATATGGGCGGCCATGGCAGGATCGCGGCACTGCGCAGTCGTGGCCCTCATCCAGTCATGCGACATCCGCCAGAGTCGACTCCCTCTCTGCACGGTGCACTGGCAGCACTGCGAGCTCAACAGCAAACCTTAACCAAGATCTAACTGCTTGCAGCAGTGGTGGAACACTCCAGTGCCCGGGAGCTGGATGCGCCCGCCGATTCGCGAAGTCTTGCATCGACGGCTCCTCACACGCCTCACACGCCTCACACGCCTCAGGCGCTTCTTCTCGAAGTCTGCCATCTGCCTTACCGCAGGGGTCTGATACCCATTCTCTGCAACCCACAGACGCGGCAACGGGGAGCGAGCGAGGGAATGGGCCACTGCTCTTAGCCTCTGCACTCTGCTTGCTGCTTTGGGCCTGCAATGGCCACGGGCCAGCGGCGGAGGAGAAAAGGGCAGCACGTCGCACGTCGCACGCCGGCAGCCCTCCATGGTATCACCAGATCTTGCCTCTTTGCTCAATCCATTTCTCCCTGTCTGTATTCGACGACACTTGTGTACACCAGAGCTGTCACTGGCTTGGCTCCGTGTCTGCCCACACCGTGCCATAAAGCACAAATTCTGATCGAGTGGAAGAGCCTCTGAAGCAACCTCACCAAGTCATTGCGCCCTGGATACTCCAGGACCTGCTATATAGCTCTGCTGGCCAGCTCTACGTTTCAGCTTGCTTTCCTCGTTCATCAGCGACTTGACATCCATCCCCCGAGAGCTTCTCTGTCCCCGATCATCCCAGATCATCTCACAAGAGCAAGCCATCAACTAGCGAGCGACTGCCACATATTCACGAGTCCATCATTGGCCGCCGCTGCCCGCTTGCACCTCTTCACCCGCCGCCAACTGTCGATCCATCTTGACTCGAACTTCTCAACCACCGGGTTCTTGGAAAGTCAATTGACATTCTTTGAGAGGGCGGAGGTATTTGAGCACACGCAACGCGCTTCTGTCGTTCCACACGACATATCAAAAGTTAGCTCAGCCTTTCCATCCGTCAAGACATCCCGCTGACTCTCGCTGCAGATGGCAAAGCCTGGTAAATGCGAACATACTTTCAAGATGATCAAGTCGGACACGACATTGATTCTATGGAATTGCAACATGTGCCACTCAGGCCCTCACTGGTTTATCTATGAGTGCGCAAAGTGCAAGCTGAAGACTTGCCGGCCATGCACGCAAAAGGCGTCTTAGCCTTGTAAGTATATGATCGCCTTCAAAGCATCGCGAACGCTCTCGCTAATAAAGCTGCAGCATTCCACTGTCATCGTCTTTACTGGTTTATCTCTTTTCATCATGGGTTTACTTTGCAGCGTTACTGTTACACTAGCGAGGAGTCTTAGGACGGAGAATGCTCAGGCTGGAGAGATCGAGCGGAATCGGGTCGGATCTGGAGTCACTGGAGCAAGCCCTTGAGACGGCGGCTGGGGATGCAATATGTGCTTTGCTATGTATGGGTTGTGAAAGGAAACACTGGGAAGAGGCGTGTCCGCGAGGACCTAACAAAGAATTAAACGACGGAGTTCTAATCTAATGCTTTTGCAGAATGTCGAATGGTAACGCAGATAGCTTGTGACGGCCGGCACAGAATAGCCTAAGAAGGAAAGGCGGGAATCAAGCACTATTGATCAACTACATCCTCATATGGACCTCACAAAGAAAATCACCAATAATGTGGAAGCTTTAGTGGCTTCCAGGGCTTTATCTCCCAACACCCTTGCCTAACACCCTGGTAGCAGTAAACTTGGCTTTGCAACCCGATCACTTGCATGACGATCGCCTGTCACCCTTGAGCGGATTGTGACGGCATTTGCCTACCACACTCGCCATAGCCAAGATCAGCAATTGCATGGAAGGAATCGTGAGCAATGGCTATAGACGGTCGGCGAAGACACTGTGGGAAGTACTTTGTCGGCCTTTGCACCTCTGGTACTACTGTACAGCTGATCAGGCGCAGAGGATCGAGCACCCGGGCAATTCGTCAATTGCATGGCGAAATGCACGGCGTCCATGGATGAGAAGTGCACCTGATCCCGTCCAACAGCTCACCTAACTTGTCCGATGCGTGTATGCTTGCGCTTGCTTCAAATCATCCGTAATCGAATCCTCGCTGACATACATCCATGACCTGCTGCAGGAATTGAACGAGGAAGTGAGGCGGACGTTATGATTTCTACGACAAAGCCGTCTAAACGAATGACACAAAACGAATGTGACATGTTTCTCGCGCCAGTAGTGTCGCCGAAGCCTATGCGTATCAGCCTGATGCAACTCCATCAAAGTTCCAGTCTACGTAATTGCAACATTCTCGGTCTTCTCTCCGGGTAGCACTTCCCCCCTCGTCTTCTGTCGCTGCTCCAATTGTATTTCGTATCTCGTCATCGTATGGCATCGTCAACTCGTCGCCTCATCAATTCCCCAACTCCTCACTCCCCTCCCCACATCGATCGCTTGTGCAGTCACATTATTTTAGACTGGGCAGCTCTGCAAAGCGTCGTCAGTGTTCAGATCGTTGAGAATGCAGCTTCGGATACAAACCGCGCCGCAAGAACCGCATGTCTTTCCACCAGAGACGCTGGTTCCGCACTTTGGGCCTGGGAGATCGTTAGCTTGTCGAAGCAGAGGTCGGGACGAAACTTGACGTACAAGAAGGGTGCATGTTGGTTGGATTCTTGGAGTCTCTATGGTGAAGTTTCTCGGGCGATCTGATCGTGTGAAAGGGCTGTGTTGACCGCGGAGTGCTTGATGGTGGGTGTCCTTTTGGTGTGGAAGACAGAGACACGACGCAGCTGATTGATAAAGGCGGGGTCGCTTATGACACGTGCACCATTGGAAGTGAATTAAATCGTGGGCGGGACATCGGGATGTTTTCCAAGCTCGGTTCTTCCTTCCGTCTCACAGCCTGCGAGCACGATTTCTGGCCCATGAGAAGAAGTGTCGGCAGGGGCCGAGTCGTGCGCAAAGCTTACTTGAGCCGAGGATTTCTCACAATCACGACTTCCACAATTTCATTGGCCTCCTGACTTCATTGTACCTGCAGTTCATCCGCAAGATCGCATGCCTCAAGCGCCCGCGCCAGCAATATCGAGATGACCCTCCGTCCTCCCCAAGCCAGTACATCGCTCAAGACTCCTCATGACCGGGTGATGGGCACACGTTTACCTTGCTGGTGCGACGATGTGCTTCAGTCATCCCTTCCGAACAGAGCACATAAGGCGTCTATCACAGCATAGCACATGTGCAAGCAGCGGTAGATATGCATACTCGACAACCAACGGCATGTTTGCCGCAATAAAGTAAACCGATTCTCAAATCGTACCTGCCATGTGCACGCGTACTTGAAAGTCAACGTCGTCACATGCTCAATTCCTTCACGATCTCTACACAGTCCCGCGACCAGACGCTCGGAGAAGACCTCCTGCCTGGAGCCTGGGCATCTCCACTCGTTCTGTAACCGCACTCTCGTTCAAGATGTCAACACTTGATATCCTCCTTCTTTTGTTCTCTGTGCACGCTCTGGCCTCCCCTTTCGTTCGACGATCAACTCCCGTTTTCGACTTTGATGGCGACGCACCTTTCACAGTAAATCCCAACACTTTGGCCTCATCCCTTACTTGTCCATATGGGAATCCGACAAGCTCCTCGCCTCCCGTCCTGCTGGTTCACGGGACAGCGACTACAGGAGAGGAGAGCTGGGGCGATGGCTATGTTCCGGCACTCAAGGCCGATGGCTACACAGCTTGTTATGTTACGATTCGTATGCGGAGACAGTGCTGAATTCACGACCCTCACTAATCTAGCAATAGCAAATCGATCAATGGGCGACATGCAAGTCAATGCCGAATACGTAGCATACAACCTGCATTACATCTCAACACTGGCTGGTGGACTCCCGGCTGCTGTGATTGGGCATAGCCAAGGCAACCCAAACACGCAGTGGGCTCTTCAATTCTGGTACCGCCCCTTGATCCTTTCTCCTGTCTTTGAACAATCACTGATGAGAGATGATGTAGGCCCAGCACACGCAACGTGACAAGAGCCTTTGTCGCGCTATCTGCAGACTTCTCTGGCATCGACATTCTTGGCAGCGACACCTTGCTACACGACGTCTGTAAAACTGGTGTATGCCAAGCAGCCCTCTGGCAGCAAGCCGCGGGTAGTGAATACTACAAAGCCCTCCATGCCGCCAACTTCCAGACTCAAGTGCCAACGACGTCGATCTGGACAGAAGTGAGTCGCCAAGTGAACGCCTGCATGCATCATGCTAACCCAGACAATAGTGGGACGGCGTGGTAGCGCCGTTCTCGGAGAATGCAGAACTACCAGGAGCTACAGTGCTTTCAGTTCAGAGCCTCTGCCGATTTCGACCAACGACTCACGTTACGATGACCATCTCATCGCCCGCATACGCTCTGGCACTCGACGCCCTGAACAATGGCGGCATCGCAAACCTATCTCGCGTGAAGAAGCATGGGTTCGGCATCTGCGCTCGCCTGACAGCAAAGGGAATGCGAGTTTCGATTGCCAGTGACCTGCAGAAACTGCTCGTAAATCTGGTCGACGGATTTCTGTAAGACACGGCATTCCGTAACCATGTCAACCTATACTGATGCGCCACAGACTTGCTACACCTATGCTCAAATCCGAGCCTGCTCTTGCGCCATACGCGCAACGAGTTTTTGGCTGAAGGAGTTCGCCAGGACATGCGGTGCGGTCGGTTCCGAGCAATCACCCAAGAAGGGCACGACATAGCCTTTGCACGGAAGTAGTGCTGTGGCCCCGCAAACCAAGCATTGGACATTAATCTCTTCTTCCGATTTTTGTCTTTCCTCATGTGAAATCCATTCTCCACCGGCAATAGTGTCATATAGATCGTTCTCCTTTGGCGCCGCTTCCACCTGAAAGATGATGGGCCGACGGTCAGCAGATGTCTCAGACATTCGATTCAGCTGCTGTCTAGACATTGCTTCTTACCAAGGTGAGGTACCAAATGCCAGGCGCCTTCGGCTTTGGCTTCCAACCTTTGAGATGGCCCGCGCCGTAGAGGGCGTTCTTCGTTTCTGCTGGGGCGTACGGTAGGGTGAGGTGATATACGCATCGCTCGATCAAGTCAGGTTTTTCGAGGTGTTCTGCGACGCCGTTGAGTAGCTGTCTGGCAATGCTAGACATCTGGTCCTTTGACAGGGCGACCTCTGACGATCCCGATTTTGAGCAAAATGCGACCCGTGTACGTGGGGTGAATCAGATCCAGCGCCTTGCGAGATTGGCCACAGATTCCCAGGCTCGTGCCTAAGAATCTGGTCCCATAGCGTAAGTCCAAAGGTTCCTTGAAGTTGTACCCCAGCTCGACCTGTGGGTGGTGGTTCGTTTCATCGAGGGCCTCCTCAATGTCAAACAGTATGTCCTCCACTAAGCGTATCCCTCTGCATTTATGACGCTCGCAGTCCTGAATATCGGGGATATTAGGCTTTCTACCTGGCCCCCGGCTTACATGTTGTTGAGACGGTCGCGCAGAGTGACCCGGCGCTGCGGGCGACCATTGTAATGCTTCCATCGGCCAGTAGATGGCACCACCGTCATTGTGATTGGGAGAGGCCGTTGTGCAATAATGTTGACAAATATGACTTGTCTTGAGCAATCAATGTACGTAGAAGAGATGTACGAGGAGGTTGCGTTGTCGATTGGAAGAAACAAATGCTGCTCCCTAGCAAAACCAACCCAATCCTTCCACTGTTCTATGCCTAACGAGCGCGCCTTCCACGACCGCGTCCACCGGCATTCGATCTTTGCAGCACTGGGCTACTCGTTGCCATGGAGCTGTCCAATATCGAACTTGACAGATTGATGCTACCTGGGCTCCTTGGCAAAGCGTCCGCTGCAGCGACTTGTGCTCGCATGCGATTCTGTAGTCCTGCCAGAGATGGTGGTTGCATGATCATCTCGGAACGTCCCCCAGGCGAGCTTACCTGCTGAGCGGCGCTCCTTCCCACAAACGAGACGAGCTCAGATTCGGAGTCGCTGTGGTCTTCTTGCTCAGTATCGGTATGCTGGTAAGAACCTGCCTCGGGGACAGAATCGTCAAGATCGCGACCCATGCCCATGCCTAAATCCTCCTCGTCTCTCGCAGCACCTGTAAGCTCGGCCTCCTCAAGCTCTTCGTTGACATCAGGATCATTGTCCTCGGGGAATTGAATCTGACTACCACCCATCATGCTGTCCTCGTTGAAAGTTGTCTCGGCAGTCGTTTGGTCTTCTCCCGCATCTGCATCCGGAATGTCTGCATCGAGATCATGTTCCTCATCACCTTCGCCCGCGTCTTGCGCATCCGCAGTCTCAGCAGCTTGTTGTTGCGCCTCTGCCAGCTGCTGCTGCGCTTGCATGTCCAACAGACCGCGTTCCTGCCTCTCTATCTCCGCCTGTTCTTGTCGTTCTAGTTCTTCCTCTCGCGTTGCTTGCAGAGTCTTTGGAACACCGGGCGGTCGGATCCATTGCGCGCCAAAGTTACGCACTGCTGCTTTGCGCTGTTCAATGGCTGTCTCGTCGGTGCATAGAAGTGCTAGCGGACTTCGCGCATGGTGAAGCTTCCTCTCCTCATCGCGTCTTTGCCGCTCACGATGATTCTGTTGCTGGTTCTGAGTGTTGTTTGGCGGGGGAGAGTCGGCTCGTGGGCGATATGTCGTGCGCAAGAAGGAAGACTGGTCCTCTTGAGGAGGTATGAGTGGTAGAGCGAGCATTTTGTGGCCTTTGAGATGGGAAAGGTGAAGTGCAAGTCGGAAAATTGGCTTGTATATTGCACCTACCTTGCTGGCGAGCGCAGTTGCGATCTGAACAGTCGATGCTCAATTGAAACGAAGGGACGTCACATCACTTGCATTGTTTAGAATATCAGCACGGGCCTGCAGGCACCGCGCTAGTGAGCCAGCTGCTCACACGCTTTCTGTTGCGTGTGGTGAACTTGGCTCCGCTCCCTATACTTGCAAGCACTCCCTATTCCCACCCCTTTGGCAACACCTCACTAACTTCTTCACAGACCTTGTTGAGCCGTGCCCGCTCACAAATGGGCTTCGGTCTAGACGAGAATCTGCATTGCACAGCGCGGGACTCTCTTGTTTAGTGCGTCTCCTTCGGGGGCTGCATCGGCGCAATTTGTGAGTTGACATGCATTATATAACTACTGCGACATGTGCTGACCTGTATCTTCCAGTTGCTGGCTACCTGCTCATCTGAGCTCCTTTTCATCAGTCCGTCGGCCTTTGGGCTGGCATCTGGAGAAGAGCTGGCTGTAGTTCTACCGACAGCAGCCCTACTGCATGGCATGCTTGAGCAATGCCACGACGGCCACCTGCATGCTTTTACCTGAGCCCTATCTTCTACTGACTCTCGCCGCAACAGGTGTGCTCGTGAGTTACTCGGTGGCCAACATTTGCCCGCATCGCGATAGGCCGCATCCAGTCGACGGCCTACGAGCACCAAGCCGCTCACCGCCAGCACCACCACGATCAATACCATTCACGACACCCTGTATCTACGAGACTCGCGTATCTCGCCTCTTCACGCTCTCCGTCCCACCTCCACCAGCCGCGGCTACGCGTTATCTATCCACTCACCGCCGTCCAGCCCCACACGTGTTCCTACAGCATAGTATCGCCAAACTATCTACAGGACGCCATAAATGACCACTGCAAGGAATCGCCAAGAAGATATCTCCACTGGTCAACCACTCAGCTGCTGTGAGGCGCGAACCGGGTCATACTGTGCGGCTGGTGAGGCTCGATCAGGAAGGAGAACCGTATGATGGGACAGAGGCAATCAGTCTCTGCTTTGGAGAGTCTTGGTGAGGAAGTCATAACACGAACATATCCATCACGACCCGAGCGTGAGCAAGTCTAATGTTTGCGGGCGATAAAGGGTTCTCAAGAGCTACAAATGACACTCTTTAGGAAAACGACGCTCACTACAGTATATGCATACAGATATGACCCTGGCTTGTACACATGCTGAGAATCACAGCACAGAGGCTCATGCTCGGTGCCGCTATCCGCAGAACGCCTCGCTGAAACCCAGTCCCTGCATCATGCTGCCCACTCAAGACACTTCCGGCAGACATCCATATACTCCCGGTCAAGGCTTTCGTCCACAAACAAAATGGAAGATGGTCAAGAGATGGATTTTGGGGTCCTTGAACTCATTCCTCACGCCCGCCATCAGGACCTGAGCCTCATCCATACTCCACCCAAGGACCCTGGTCAAAGGCGCAAGGGAGAACGCCTCAACACACAGAATCATATGCTCGCGCTGATACCTCCCAACTTCTTTCAGCTTCTTATTCTTAGCCCAAGTTCCAATCGGAATCTTTAAAACATCCTCCCTCACATCTTCAAACCCAGCCTCCTCGATCCACTTCCTTTGATCAGCCGCGACATTCATTCTCTTTCCAAACTGACTAGAGGCCTGATCTATCAATTCCTGCCAACACTTGACATTCGGCGCTTTCGTCAATTCCGGATCGTCATCCGAAGAAATCCAAGCTTCATATTCCTGCATCTCAATCCAGCCGCCTGGCTTCAGATGTTCGTATACTCTCGAAAACAAGAGTGGCCAATCTGCTACACTGCCGCCCATTCCTCGGCCGTGGATGTAATCAAAAGCCTCACTTGCGGCCCAGGTCCACTCGCTCTCGACATCGTCAACGTAGAACTTACAGTTCGGTGGAAGCCAGCCTGGTTGAATCGGCGATAGATCCGTGCCGAGCACCTCTGTGTTAGGATATATGTCCGCGAAATCTATCGCCCAGATTCCAGTTCCGCAGCCGAAATCCAGGACTCTCTGGATGTTGGGAGATAAAGGGGCTCTATGTAAGGCGCCTTCCAGCGCAAGCCGGTAGATGTGGTGATGAAGATCTAATCGGTCTTGTTCTTCGGCATCGTTTGGCATGAGATAAGCTCCATCGCGAAAGGCGTGATATCGGCGTCCATTCTCATATTTATATCCGAAGATGGAAGAGGCTAAAGATGTGCTTTCTACAGAGTCGAGATCTGAACCAAGGCCGGAGTCTCCCGATGTGGTCTTCTCGTGGTGTCAGTGATGCTCTATGGAACTTGCAAGCCACTCATACATCTACTTCTACATCGTCCGCGGCATTCAAAATAGGCTGCTGTGGGTTCTGCGCCATTGTGCATATGTTAGCATGTACGTAGGGTAAACAAGCTTGACGGGTCGGCAGAGACAGCTGCTGCTGCAACGCTGCGGCGCAGAAATCTTGGGTCATGATGTCCGCATCTGACTTGCAGCCGCCGACTACGGTATCTGCTGTATTGTCATGATTAAGCAGGATGCTGATCGGCCCTGCTGTAGTTCTACAGGCACGCCATGCAGCTTGGCGTTCGGCAACCATCCTTCCAACGAAACATCTCCGACTTCCATCAAGTGACTTCTCCTGACCTCCAAAATTCGTCATTGCCATCAACCTCCTCGGTTCTGCCTCAAGAAGACATAAGCAACTCATCTGATCGACCGTGTCGCTACGAATGTGCCAAATCGCTGAGTACTACTGTGCCGCAATTTGCTGCAATGGAACAGCGGACCGTGAGCTACACCACGACTATCCAGGCCCTAACGAACCGATCGAGCAGGCATGCAGTAAGCGACGTGGGGCCTGCGTTGGCACGGTTTATCTTGGAATCAAGCACGCCAACTACTCTCGAGCTTGAATTTTGGCCCGCGATAAGAACTTGATGATACAGTTCTACGACTTGGCGTGCTGCCATGTCGAGCATCTCAATTGCTGGTATAGCAATCCTAGGATACATTTCAAGCCTCACCATATATCGTCTCTACCTGAGCCCGCTCGCGAAGTTTCCAGGACCCAAGCTAGCTGCATTGACGAAATGGTACGAAGCGTACTACGAAATTGTCCTGAATGGGAAGTTCAGCTTCCATATTGAGGACTTGCATCGCAAATACGGTAAAAGGTTCATGGATCAGTAAGGCTATGGGTGTTTCTCATGGTTCACAGGGCCTATCGTTCGCATCACTCCTTTCGAGATACACATACAGGATCCTTCATCTTGGGAGTCACTCTACGTGAAGCACAACAAGTCATCCAAATATGAGTGGACAGCGGGTCGTTTTGGGAACGAAAGTTCTGTCTTTACGACGTCAGATCCCACGCTGCACCGCATACGTCGAGGTGCACTGAATAATATGTAAGCCGAATCGTCCTTGTCTTCATACAGAGTGTCCCGGGCCGACCTTTTCCAATCCAGGTTCTCTCGCCGCGCCATACTCAACTTCGAGCCAGTTGTGTCGAGATACGTCGACATTTTCTGCAATGGTCTAGAAAAGTTTCGTCAGACTGGCAGCATCTGCAATATGACAGAGGCCTTCTCGGCGTTTGCAGGCGATGTCGTGACTGACTACTGCTTCGGCTTCAGTTACGAACATCTAGCAATTGAGGGCTTCACACACTCTTTCCACGATGCGTTCATGGCAGTATCAGCCTTTGGACATGTGGCTTTACAATTTCCTTGGGTGCATCCTGTATGCCATCCACATCTCCACGTCCCTCTGATGACCGCTAACATGTTGTCAGCTCCTTAATAGCCTGCCAGATAGCTGGAATGCGGCAATGAATCCTCCCTTGGCTGAGCTGCTTGGACTGCAAAAGGTAAACTTCCCAGTGCTGCCAAGCATTCGCTGCCTGCACTGACACATCGCAAAGGATCTCCGAGCCAAGATTGCTCAGGTGAAGGAGGATACAGCGAGAAATGAGAAGATGCCCGAACATCCAACCATCTTCCATACGCTACTCAATGATAAGAGCTTGCCAGACTCCGAGAAGACGAATTTGCGCTTTGCAGAAGAAGCTCAGCTACTACTTGGCGCTGGAATTGAGACAACGTCGTGGAGTCTCTGCCAGACCTTTTTCTACGTGCTGTCGCAACCAGACGTTCTGTCGAAGCTCAAGGCCGAACTCTACGAAGCGATACCGAACGCAGCTCAACTGGACGCCTTTGACTACACCAAGCTTGAGACCCTTCCGTACCTGCGAGGCTGCATCAAAGAAGGAATTCGTCTTTCACTCAGCGTGTCGGCACGAAACCCTCGAGTGCTTACCGAGCCATTTGTCTGGCGAGACCATACGACTGGCCGAGATTGGGTCGTTCCAGCTGGCACGCCCATTAGCATGACGATTGCCGATGTGCACTTGAATAATGACTACTTTCCTGAAGCCGACAAGTTTAAGCCCGAGAGATGGCTTGGTGATTCACCAAAGGCACCTGATGGCTCGCCGTTGGAAAGGTACTTCGTGGCATTCGGCAAAGGGCCCAGAAGCTGTTTGGGGATCAAGTAAGTCATGATCTTAGACAAACGCTATGACTGGTCGGTTCAGCTTACCTATTGACAGCCTCGCTTGGATGGAGCTTTTCAAGGTCGTCGGCACGATCATGCGCAAGTTCCAGCTGGAGCTCTACGAGACCGATATCACGGATGTGTTATTGGAACATGACTTCTTCCTGCCAAGCCCGAGACTGGACTCAAAGGGTATCAGGGTAAAGGTAGTTGGTATAGAAAGCTGATCTCATGCAGTGCCGCAGCAAACAATGCCGTCTTCATCTTTGCAATCGGCTATCTCAGACATATGCTCAAATCAACATGCTCAACATAGCCAATGCTACACCAATGCCAAGCCAAACATTCACCTGTGAGACGGCTCCAGCACTCTCTGCACCGGTTGAAGGGTCATCGGTCGCTTCGACACTGGTGTTGACCCTCATACACAGAGCATTGAAAGAGTCGTCGCCAGCATCGACAAGCAGCATGTGCACTCGCAACTGTTCCTCCTCAAAAGAATACTGGACGTTGGTGGTATTGTACGCTGGACCGGTGACATAACGGAAAGCATCCCCGCTATAATAAGTTTCGTTCTGGAACTTGGAAGTGCCGTTGTCGATTTTGTTCAGGTCGTTGAGAGGATACACGGCTGCGCTCCACTTCAGTACAACAGCTTGCGCACATTTTCAGAAGTAGAGGAGTTCATGCGTACAGCTAAAAGCATACGGATCGATAGGAAGATGACCAGTACACTCCGGGATAGCTGTGAGATTGAGTCGACCATTTTGATCTCGTCCCCCTGATATCACTGCGTCTCGGATGGCATCGACACAAGTCTGGCCGATAGTCGCTGCACAAAGTCCGCTAGGATCCGCGGTGTCGTTGTACAGGGTCGTGACATTCGGAGGGAGGAAGTAGTACGTCCCAATCGGACTGACGCAGAGAGGCTCAGAAGCACGGTCTCGCTGCTCATCCAGCTCTGCAGAGAGTGATGTAGTGTTGCCATCCGCTTCCCAACTGAATGAATAGACCGTGTTCACGACCTGAGCGTCTGGCTCGGTGTAAGCTGCCGGGGTTAACTATTGATTCAGTTAGCTGATGCGACATGCGTTGAGAGCCGACCTCGTCTCTTCCTTACACCTGGTGGTGATTCGCTATCATTCACTCCGATCTTCGTGACGTTGACAGTCCATGTCCAAGACTTGCTATTGTCGTCATTGGGACGGAAGGGATGGAAGGAAACGCTCTTCGAGACGACTGGATGGCGATTCTCCGCAACGAAAGAAGTGTTTTCTGGACCAGCACCTATACCAGAGCCTGGCTCATAGTAGTGAGCAGCCACAAGTGAAGTGCCCGGGAGCAGTTGTGATGCGATAGTATGCCTCATGGTTTGATGAGAGTGATTATACTGATTTGAAGGAGGGCCTACGCAACGCTACAGTGTTGTTATATCTTTCGAAGTGCATGTGGCACAGTGCGCTGGCTCAACGTTCATTCTCGACATGGAAGACAGCATCCATTTTATGCGTTGCCGTAATAAGATGATTCCAATCAAACAGCTATGCCTGGCACAGCATCGGCGTGTTTCTCGCTCCGACCATCGAGCGAAGAAACGTGATGAAGTGAACTACGAGGACATTTGTGAAACTCCCATTGAGCAATCCCTTCGCCACACCGAAGAGTCTCAAAGATTTTGTACCAGGATCAATCACTTCTATGCAGATAGGCTGCTCAGAGAAGACTCCAAAGCCAAGTGAACTCCGTCTCCAATTCACTTCCATTGAGGAACTTTGCATAACGACTTCCACAAATCAACCTGTACAACCGCGCTTGATTTCGCCTCCAGATGCTAGGACACGTGGAAATCAACGAAGTGGTCGCCGAATGTGAGTTCTAAAAATGCATGTCTCGTTTACCTCTGGAGCAAACTGGCGCTCCGCTTTCCGAGAAGTATAGTGCATAACATCTCGACTCGTAATCCTGAGATGTCTTGATATCAGTGAAGCGGGTTACGAATGTGAATATTCAGAAATACTTGCGTAAAACCTCTTTTTACTCCCAAGGAGTCTTTTCGCACAATGCTCCCCTATACGTAGCACTTCGCAGCAATACTCGATCTAGCCACAAAATCCTGAGACACCTCGAAGTTCGCGAAGCGATTCCCAGACGTGAGCTGCGAAGAAGCGATCACATAAGTCAAACACGCTTTCGGTTCCCGGATCAAGAGCAGCAAAATTGACACGGCCTTTCCATTCATTACCTGAGCAGACTACCCCGAAGGCGAGCAATCCACACATTTCCAATCCATCGGCCTCTTCGAAAGTTTGACACACTCCATATGGAAGTTTCGACCACAACGCGGATTTCCACATCCAATAGTACCTCGATAACCTTCCGCGCGCCTCCCACAGACACAAAATTCCTGCTTCTCTCCAGAAACCTCCTCGATCTCCGGAGACTTCGACTTCGGACGTGTCTGCAAGAGATCGACGTAATATGTGGTCTCCTGCAATTCGAATACAATCTCTTTGTGAGAAGGCATCTTTTTTGCCCGATCCATTGCGTTGTAGAAGTCTTCCTCATCGGTGACGAGCTGATTGGCAGAGCCGCTTACGTGCACGATGTTGTCCGAACCGCATAAGAAGACCAAGTCCTTATCCATAATTCGATGCAATTTACGAAATTCGAGATCCTGTGGCTTGATTTGATCTGGTGGCTTTGTCTCGAGCTCATCTTTGAGTAAGTCCGACACGGGAACCTTATAGATTCGTGCCTCTTGTGTCGTCATCTTGGCCTTGGGCGCTCGTTTGCAGACCACAATGCGCTTGCCGAATGGTATCGTAGAAGACTGCGCTTGAGGTTTCGATGGTTGTGGTTGGCCGTCAGCGTCCTTGACGATGCGGCCATCTATCCACCTTGCTCTGAATTTGCTGTTCGGCGTGAGATTCGAAGTGCCAAGTGCAGATCGAGAACGGTCTGGAGAAGTAGAGACAGTGCCTGTGACTTTGCTGAAAGCCTTCGAGGGCGATCGGGACGCTGCTGGAGATGTGGCATCTGTTGGCTCTCTTGAGCCACTGCCACGAGCCTGGAATAGACTGTGCACACGTGCCTTAGATGGGTGCACCTCCGCCTCAGACTCCCCTGCCGTGGAGGGACGGCCGTTGTTCCAGCGCGGTTGAGATGGACCATGCACACTTGGCTCCGAGCTATTAGCCTCATCTTGAGTGGCCTGCTCTGGGCTACGTTCCTGCTGCTCAGAAAGAGGCACCACCTTCATACAGTACTCAAGGTATGTTTTAGTGATGATACCTCGACTTTCGAATTGCTCAAGCTTTGACTTGAATAGCGCTCTCAGGTCTGGCCTGCTCAGCTCCTGAGCATGTTTTCTTGCGAAGCGTACAAGCGCATCTCGCACAAGAATATCAGAATCAGGCTGTTCTTCATCAATATGACTATTAAGCATCAAGTGGAATTCCAGCTCGATGTCATCCTTGCCCAGCTTGCGAAGATCATGACATTGGCTTTGGACAATCCAGGTATTGTCAACGTCGTCATCGCTATCGCTGACCTCGTCACCAGCGACAAGAGCTTTTTTGGACGTCGTACGGTAGAAGGAGACCCCGGGTACGTCCGGAACTCGATGCTTTCTCCTTTTGTAAGGCGCAAGATCTGGAACGTCTTCAGGAGCAATGTCTCTTCCCCTAGACTTCAAGATCCGGTCTGGTCCGGGACCGAGCAGCTGCCTAGCAGCCAACACAGTCCTCTTTGGTGGTTTACCAGGCCTCCACGTGCTTGAGAACTTCTTTATAGCAGGCGGCATGCCTTCATACTGCACAGGAACTGCAGCCTTGATCCTCCATGTTGACTCCCCATTGACATGAGCTGCAATGTCTAGCAGTGTGTTCGGTGCTTCCCAGTCAAAGTCCTCGCTTTCCTCTTCCGTGGACACACCATACTGCTCATCATCGAGGTGAAGTGACAGGACCTTGACTCCCAGATCGTTTTCGTCGTCCTCGACATCGATGCTGAATTGGTCGTGATGGGTCTGATAGTGATTTAGCAACTGTGGGAAAGAGGAAAGCTCCCGATATTCTTGGCAGAAGATACAGCTCAAGTTCTCCAGCTCGATCTCGCGTTTGATAAAGGTCGTCGATCGAAACAAATATCGTACCATGCTTGGCCCCCGGTGTCTCTTGGTTTGTCGCTGGTGTTCAGAAACGGCCGGAGATGGCATCTGGCGCTTTCTTTCGAGTCGCGCTTGCCTCACGTTGTAATCAGCCAAAACGCTTCCGCTGGTTCTCCCTTTCCAGCTCATGTCGACTTCTGCGCCGTACTCTAGCTGTAGAGTCTTGAGCCCCTTGACTCTTCTGAACATCAACAGCTGGTCACTATGCGGCAATTCTGGAAGTCCTGGGTCTTTGCTCGTTGTATTCGGGTTGGGGTCACCCCAGACAAGCCGGATCACACCCTCGTTACTAGAAGCGTGCATATAGTCGCTCTGAGACTTGTTCTCGAGCTGGCTCAAGAGCGCGGCTGATTCCTTCGAGTTCCTGGGCTGGACTGAGATCTCCAAAGTATATCTATCTGTGATTGTCCTCGCCCATTCCGCGTCGGAAGTAGAAGTGTGGACGTGTCTCGGCACGGCAAGCTGTTCGACACCGAGCAAGAGCGGCTTTTTGAGTTCAACACTGAACACAGGCTTGCGAGCACTGGTCAAGTATCTGATCATGTGCGCCTCAACCTTGTCGCGGTAGACCTCACTTTTCGCGTGCGCTTTATAGTGAATTGAAACACCAACAAAGACTGGTAGCTTCCATTCTCCAGGAGAAAGCACCCAAGACTGCGACTTTCGCTCACGTCCGCGTGCGACCACATTGCGTGATGATCTCGAATCTGAGGTGTTGTGACGTATCAGCAAGGAAGTGATGCGAAGCTGAGGCTGCCGCGCCTGGAAAAGATCCTCGATGGTGCCATTTGATGGCGGCTGCCAATTGGCGCGCGGATGATGCTTGTGTTCAACGTTCATGCCATCTGCCGACGGCGCAGGGTTGGTTGTTTGTTTTGCAAGCTCCGACTCGTGATGATCAAGAACGTGTCTCAGATTGCGATGCAGGAATGGTCTACTCGAAGCGGACTGGGCGAATTCGCGATAAAACGCTGTTTTGATGCCCAAGTCGCGAGTTTCGAGTGAGTTCACCATGTCCAAGGCCGTCACGGAGGAGTTCGCACGACAGAGGAGTAGCTTTCATTGTTGGAGAGGCGTCGGTTGTGGTCGAGTGCAACGCGTCTGGAATTCCTGGTCACTTGCAGACCTTTCCAAGACTTCAGGCAAGTTTAGGTCAGGAGCATATTCTTTCTAGTGCTGGCTTCTTCAGAGCGCGCGTCTCGGGGTCAGAGTGCAGATGTCGCGTCTGACAGTGTCTGTGGTTGATTTTCGCAAGGCTGAGAGCTGCTTTTATTCTCACGGGCCAACGGACCAGCTTCGAAAGTCAGTGGGATGCCGTATGGTAGTGTTGCGAACACCGATTATTAGATGGAAGCAGTAGGCCGCGTTACGTCGTGTCGTGACGCTGGGGCGCGGCAAAGCCAAAACTGGAATGCCTTCGAAAGCTCGGACGCATCTTCACAGATTCGATAAATCACCCTACGAATAGGAAAAAGAAAAGCACGGAATGCAGTAGAGTAACACTTTGTCATTCCCAGAGCCACTGTCTGTGAAAGGTCCTAATGCGCCGCGAGGCCCATCTTCATGAGACACTGCAAATACCCTCGAGCCGTGACGGCCATGCAGTATCCTAGATGCATGCATTACGCGCATCCTTCTGTAATAAAGAAGCAGCTTGCTATCGTCCGCGCGTCATGCCTTGCGCCCGAAGTCATCTACCCAGAAAGCAAGCACAATCTAGCATGCGTAGCATTCAACGCCTCGATAACCACCCATAGTGCAGCACGCAACGCTGCAGGAATTCCATCCAATCCGTGTTCTCGCCTCCGTACAAGATCGGACCTGCTTCTTCACTATGTCCTTAGCAGCAGCCACCAGCGCTGCCAGACTGGACGTTCGAGCCCTGGCCGACCTGCACAGTTGGCTTGTTGTTGATCGCCGTATTACCCATGCGCTCCTTGATCTGGCGAGCCATTGTCAAGAATGCTTGCTCGACGTTGCTTGCGTTCTTTGCGGACGTCTCGAGGAATGGAATGCCGAGGCTGTCTGCGAATTCCTGCGATTGATGTCAGTCTCCTTCCCTGCACATTTGATTGCCCTCCAGGTCGGCATACCTTGGCCACGGTGTACTCAACCACCTTCTTGTCTGTCATATCGCTCTTGTTGCCGACGAGGAGCTTGTTGACGCCCTCGGTGGCGTAGCGGTCAATCTCTTGCAACCACTGCTTGACGTTGTTGAACGAGTCCATGTCGGTGACATCATAGACGACGCAGATACCGTGCGCTCCGCGGTAGTAGGAGGAAGTAATCGTACGGAAGCGCTCTTGACCAGCAGTGTCCCACTACGCATTTGTCAGCTTGATATTCCTCAGCAAATGTTATTGCGACGCACGATCTGGAGCTTCACGGTCTTGCCATCGAGCTCGATAGTTCTGATCTTGAAGTCGACGCCGATTGTGGAGATGTAGCTCTCGGTGTACGTGTCGTCGGCGAATCGAAGGAGCAAGCAGGACTTTCCGACGCCAGAGTCACCGATGAGGAGAAGCTTGAAGAGGTAGTCGTATCTATGGAAATGAATGTTAGTACATCTCTAAAACTCAAAATTGAACGAATTTTGTCAGCGAGCAGCAACGGCCCTTCTCCAGAAACTGACTCAGAACGTGGCTCCGGGTTTCCATGTGGCGACATGGCAGGCTCGGCGGCTTGGAGCGGTTCCTTGTAGAGAGGTGGGTCCTGGTAAGCCGGTGGCTCTTCACACGGCGGAGTCACTCCATCGGCGTAGCTCTCCCGGATTTGTTGAGCCAGAAGTTCGGCGGCTTCACCATCCAGCACCATCCCGAAGCGCTGTGTCTGCCCGTAGGTGGGCGGGTCCTCGTTGTCCATGGTCTCCGGTGTCCAGATCGCTGTTCTCAAGGTAAAACGAGGGTGTGCTGCAAACAAAACTATCCATCGCGTAAGAAGGGCTACAAGATGGTGATACACTGTAGACATTCCTCGTCAGCAAAAGCTCACTTCCACAACCCTACCCAGGCACCAGCGCCAACTCACTACTCTGGATTCATGGCTGTGGTGTCCGCGTTTCTCGCGCGATCTTCTCTTTAAGTGTGTGTGTCGGAGGGTGCAAGCGACGGCGACGAAGGTCGAGGTCGATCTCGGAGGGCGTTAGGTTCGGTGGTAGGAGCAGCAGCAGGGACCGCGGAATCTGCAGTGCTAGGTGTTGTTGTCGAGAGCGAAGATAAGGACAATCTCGGCGGAGATGTTGTTGCGGCGGAAGATGTTTGTAAGGTGGGCGCGCTTTGTGTTTGTGCCGGGTGAAGGCGCAAATGAAGTTGTGGTCGGATTGTTGAAGTGATGTCGAATGAGTTGCGCCTTCCAGCGGACGTAACTGCCTCCCGCGGGAGCTCCCGTGTGCACGTGAACGAGACAGCCGATCAAACAAAGAGACCAGCGATGACACGTTTGACGTATGCGAGACACACCGTCATTGCCGTCTCTCTGAGAACATCGTGTGACGAGTGAAATGTGTAGGTTCTGCACAACATTGGACTGATGTAATCGAAGAGGAGTATTCTGAAGGGAGAAAGTGAAATGGTCGACTGATTCGGACCTTGTTCAACGGAATCATTTTCTAGCAACCGCTCATGCAGTCAGAGAACGAACCAAATCAAGTACACAGAATATCCATCAACGAGAGTCATCTAGCTCCCTCCTGCTTCTTCTTCCAGTGTTCATTCAAAATGGAGAGTCACCCTGCCTTTGCTCTCGGACCTTCCTTGCCAGCAACACTGGGCTTGCGTCGGTGGTCCAACTGCGCTTTGGTCTCTCTGGACCTCTGACCAGTCTGTCCACGGTATCAAAGTCTTGGACCAGGTCATACATCAGATTCCCTCCATATGCAAAATGCAGCACATCCCATCGTTCACGATTCTATCTCCAGCCAGGATTTGGCGGTGGTGATTGATATTGGCCTCCATAGCCGCCGCCGCCGCCATAGCCTTGCTGCTGAGGTGCGCTGTAAGCCTGATATCCACCCTGGTCATGAGGAGCTCCGTGTTGTGGGCCTCCGTGCTGTGGTGGAGGTGGATACGATTGCTGCCCGCCGTAGTTTTGGTGCGACCCGTATCCGCCTTGCTGATCATAGCCGGGAGTTCCATAACCACCTTGGTGTTGGTTTGGCGGCGGCGAGAATTGATTGTATCCGCCTTGCTGTTGCTGGCCGTACTGATTTTGTGGCGTTGGTTGTTGGCTTGGAGGTGCGCTTCCATAGCCACCAGTTTGCTGATGCGATGGCGCTTGGCCATAATGCGATTGCTGACCATATTGCTGCGATGGGTCGTGGCCGAGTCCTTGCTGGTGTCCAGACTGCTGTCCATAGGAATTTTGAGCTTGCTGCTGGTGCTGCGGCGTTTGCTGATGCCCGGGAGGATTGTAGCTTCCAGATTGTGGTTGATATCCTCCTTGCTGCCCTGCAGGTTGGTAAGACGCTGGCGGTGCTTGGCCAGTATATGGTCCATCTGACGTCTGATTGTGTGAATAACCATAGGGATTCGAGGAGCCTCCATGGGGCTTGTGTCCACCTAAGACACCACTGACTAGGCCACCGAGACCGCCGCTCGAATGTCCAGAAGAGCCACTCTGGCCAGAACTGCCATGTGTAGAAGACCCACCGAGGAAGGAGGATGCCATTCCACCAAGACCGCCCGATGAACCATGTTGTCCGCCAGAACCAGATCCACCGTGAGAAGAACCACCTAGGAAAGACGATGCGATTCCTCCTAGACCGCTCGAGCTTCCATGGCCTTGATTGGAACTGCTATGCGAGCCACCTCCAAGCACTGACGACGCCAGACCTCCAAGTCCTCCAGAGCTCTGCTTGTTGCCGCCGAGAACGCTATTCAGTAATGAACTCTGTGTCCCGGTCATCAGCTGTTGTCCCCATTCGTCGCTGCTCCATTCAACATACGCTCAAGCTCCTATCGCCTTCTTGACCTCCAACCCCTCGTGAACTCTCGTCTGGGTTAGGAAATGGACTCTGGCCTGCAGGTGTGCTTCCAGGTGTCGGGACATTGGGGGCAGCCATTTGTGGTACGTCCCAGGTCGACTCGCCGGTGCTTATTTGAACAAAGTAGTACTTCCGCGATCTGTCGAGATGTCAATGCTTGCGTATTATGGACAAAGATCTACAGCCACGTTGGTATCCTTTCAGCTGCGCTGTTGTGGCTGAGTAGAAGGCAGGCCGAAGACTCGGTGGTCGATACTCACTTCGCATCCCACTGCGCAATCCTTCAAACGACACCGCTACGTCAGTGCCAAGTTGCAAACAGACATACGTTTCGTGCGAGTGGCAGGAAGAATAGGCAAGAGAAATATGAAGACATGTGGTGTCTCAGAGAGGGAATAGTGAGGAGACGCACCATCCGGGCGGAAGAGACGGCGGTGCATGATCAGGACCTGCGTCGGGCGTGGACGGCTCTGCCATCGCCGCGAGTTTTTCGCTTCTGGCGTGTTGGTACGGAGCGTGCACTCTAGAAATTGTCGAGAGCAAACGGGGAGCTGCCAGTCGCAGGGTGTTTGTGGTTGTGATCGCGACAACTTCGGCTCCGGTCAAGGAAGCTGTCGATGTCCGGGGCGCAATCGGCGTTTGTCGAGGAAAGGGCAATGCCTGGTTTGGAAAGTGAAAGCAACCCAAAAGTCCAAGTGCGAAATTCCGAAATTCCCCTCAAGTATTGAGCAAGTGTACTCTCAAAGTATATATCGAAGTTCACACCTTTCACTGCAAGCTTTCTTCATAAAAGATCACCCTGAAAGCTTACACCACCCTTCCCGCGCTCTGCCCTGCCCTGCCCCTGCGCAATCCTACATGTTTCTGAGAGCGAGCGCCAGAGGCGACGGTATACGGCGGGCACGCAAGGTGTTCCTTTTGGTGTGTGGCTGTGTGCATGACCTCCACGAGCCTGAAGCGAGACTACTCACGCTAGCTTACATCCCGGCAAGAAGAGCAGAGCACGTGCGATAGATTCATCATGTCGACTACTATGTAGACAACGTGGAAAGCTGTGCCGGGGCACAGGCGTTGGTGGTATTGTTGGTGCTCGCTCTGTTCATAATTAAACCAAAAGCAAAAAGAAAACAGCTTCCGCACGCCGCCAGCCTCTAGCCAGCAATGCCTGTGGGTATTCGCATGTCATTCGCCAGCAGTGATACAGTCGAAAGCCTTGCGGCTACCAAATGCTTCAGCGCTGACAAAGTTCGTTCTTCTGGAGCACCCGCTGAAAATTGCGCGTCTAGTACTCAGCCTCGGCGCCCTCCTCTCCCTCAGCAGAGTCTGCGGCAACCTCCTCGTAGTCGCGCTCAAGCGCAGCCAAATCCTCACGAGCTTCAGAGAACTCGCCCTCCTCCATACCCTCACCAACGTACCAGTGGACGAAGGCACGCTTGCTGTACATAAGGTCAAACTTGTGCGAGAGAGCGGACCAAGCCTCAGCAATGGCAGTGGTGTTGGACAACATGCAGACGGCGCGGTTGACCTTGGCAAGGTCACCGTTGGGCACCATCTGTGGCGGCTGGTAGCAGATACCGATCTTGAAGCCAGTCGGGCACCAGTCAACAAACTGGATGGTGCGCTTGGTCTTGAGCGTGGCAACTGCCTGGTGGACATCCTTTGGAACGACATCTCCGCGGTAGAGCAGGCAAGTGGCCATGTACTTGCCGTTGCGTGGGTCGCACTTGACCATCTGGCTGTTTGGCTCGAAGCAGGACATGGAGATCTCCTGCACGGAGTTGGCCTCGTGAGCAGCCTTGGCTGCAGAGACAATTGGTGCGTAGGCGACCAATGGGAAGTGAATTCTTGGGTATGGCACCAAGTTGGTCTGGAACTCGTTCAAGTCGACGTTGAGGGAGCCATCGAATCGGAGCGAGGCGGTGATCGAGGAGACAACCTGGGCGATCAGGCGGTTCAGGTTTTCGTAGTTGGGTCGCTCAATTCCGAGGTTGCGTCGGCAAATGTCATAGATAGCCTCGTTGTCGACCATGAACGAGCAGTCAGAGTGCTCGAGAGTAGTGTGTGTGGTGAGGATGGAGTTGTATGGCTCGACGACTGAGGTGGCGACCTGAGGAGCTGGGTATACGCAGAACTCAAGCTTGCACTTCTTGCCGTAGTCGACCGAGAGACGTTCCATCAGGAGAGCACCGAAACCGGAGCCAGTACCTCCACCGAAGGAGTGGAAGACGAGGAAACCTTGCAGACCAGAGCAGTTGTCTGCGACATGTCGGACCTTGTCGAGGACTTGGTCAATGAGCTCCTTGCCTACAGTGTAGTGGCCACGAGCGTAGTTGTTGGAGGCATCCTCCTTGCCAGTGATCATCAACTCTGGGTGGAAGAGGCTTCGGTAGGTGCCAGTGCGGACCTCATCGACGACGTTTGGCTCGAGATCGCAGTAGATGGTGCGTGGCACGTACTTGCCGTTGCCTGCGAGTTTCTGTCAGCATCACAGACGGGCAGTAAGCGAAGAAGAGCAAGAGCAGCTTACCAGTCTCAGAGAAGAAAGTCGAGAAACCCTGGTCGTCCTCCGCGGCCTTGCGCTCCTCAGTGAGGTATCCATCTGGCTGTCTCGAGGTCAGCTGTGCGCCACATGTGTACATCTGAGTTGAGAGGGCTCACCTGGATGCCGTGTTCGAGGCAGTACAGCTGTCATATGCCATGTCAGTATTCATGCCCCAAGGCGCCCATGCTTCGCTCATTTCCGGTCCAACTATCTGCCACCGTGCTCTTTCTCATCTCAAAAATGGGTGTACTGACCTCCCAGCAGCTGTTTGCGATCTGGCAACCGGCCTGGCCGACTATACGCGTCCAATGTCAGTATGTGCTTGCAAATGTACTAGCTTGCGAACATGGCGGTCAAGCCGCGGTGCAGCAATTCAGGAGTAAACACGAACCGTTCAAGCTGATGACCTCACGCATGTTGTCGGATATTTCTGGTCAATGTGGTGTCGAGGGTGTCTCTTGACGGATTGCGGGCGATGCGAGGCGAGGCGAGGTGGTGGAGTGGCAGAGTGGTGCAGTTGAAGTGCAGGGACAATCGCGTCGGATGTTTATTGGAAAGCAGTGGGAGGGAGTTGTTTTGGCGCTGTGGGGGCAAGTGCGGTTAGACCCGAAGAACCCTGAACTTTGACCAATGAGACGCCGAATCTTTCTGCCGCCTGGAGCGATTTCGAGGAGGACCTTCATGAATGCAACGAAATAGCGTGGCATTCATTGCCCCGAGCGAGCCTGTATGCATCTCAAGAATGAGTGATAGCAGCTTCACTTACTGCTCACGTGTACTGGTCGTTTATGCACCTCCATGATGAGTTTCCTGGCTTGCTCGACTTCACTGTTTGCACTGCTTGTGACTACAGCTCTCGCAAACACCGAAAAGGTCATCTTCACGGCCCCAAAATCCATCACTCTGCCCGACTCTGGCCCTCGTCTGGAAGCTCTTGGGCTGCGTGCCATCTCGCATACCAACAGGGCTTTGCAGACATCTCTATCAGTCGCTTTTCCAATCAAAGACCGGCCGCGCGGACTAGCTTCGTGGTATCTATTGAGCGATCTTGAGGAGGATCAACGCTACGAAGTGCGCGTCTGCTGGGCCGCTGTGGTGAGTGGGCTCATCTGGAGTGCCAGAGTCTGCCAGAAGTGCATCTGCTGACTCGTGACAGCAGCAACCCACGGAAATCTGGCTCAACGTCTACGACATTGCACATGTCTTCGACACTCCACTTCTGATCCAGAGTCTTTCGGAATTCGCGGACAGAAGACTTGAGCAAGCCACTCAAGAGTTCCCTCACCAAGAGCAAAATATCAACGGAAGCTTGCTCCTGCTACATGTGCAAGCTGCAGCCGACTACTTCACCACAAACAAGAAATTGATGCAGGAGCCACCGCTGGTTGACGTCGACATCATTCTCGATCGCTATCTACTCAACGCGTTCCCAGAGTCGTTGATCGCAACAGCCGGATATCTCCTTGTTATAGCGGTCTTGGCCTTCTTCGTTTCTGGCCGGATTTGGAGCTTTCTCCACGACAGCAGCGGTTATAAACAGCACCAGGACTGAAAGGCAGCATGGCTTCCCCAGGAAACAACAATGCTCCTGATCCATCGGCGGACTCCTTGCCTGACTCCGATCCGGGCAGTGACTCCGTAAGTGCGGCTTCGACAGAGCAGAACGGCGCAGTAGCTTCACCAGGAGATTCTTCTGCGGTAGTCGCAAGTGCTAGTGTGCTCCAGAGGCCTCAGCATCCGTTTTATCGACTTCCATCCGAACTGATCTCGGACATCGTTGATCTGCTCCCACCGGAAGCTTTTATCAACTTTGCTTTTGCAAATTATCCCTTGGTACGAGCATTTGGTTTGGCTCCAGTCCTATCAAGACGCCGTGTGGACTACGTGACAACGAGGACACAGATACCAGCTCTCTTTCCGCTGCTGAACGTTCCGCCTGAGCTCATGCTTCAAATAATGCAACAGTTGAAGCCGATCGATGTCATGCGATTTGTGATTGCTAATTATCGAGAGCTGGCGAGGCAAGGCATTGCGCCTGTGCTGACGCGCGAGACAGAGCTTGAGCTTAAGAAAGCGCTGAGAGGGCCGGACGCGACTTGAGATGCGAAGAGCAGAAAGCCTTCTCCCAGAGAGATGACCATGACGGCTAGTTTGCACTGGTTCGAGATATGGCAGGAGCTGAACGCCTGCCTCACGAGATCTGTAGATCGCCCACTGTGGGACTTCACGAGGAGGCTCCTACACCCCGATTGAGCAGCTTCTTAATAGTAGATGGTACTTCGGTGCATCGATAGCAGCTTACTTAGCCGAACACGAATGTGGGAGTTGGTTCGAGGAATCGGCCTCGCCGAGTTTTAAGCTTCGAAAGTACCAGCTGCGAAATGATCTCTTTGTACCATAGAGATTTCGTGCGACATGGAAACACAGCGTATTTGGTTCGGACACATCGAACGCCGACAACGCATTCACAAAGATCTCGCGCCCAGTCATGGCAAACAAACCCATAAAAGACTTGAACAAGTTCCTGCGCCTTCAATATGCCCTTCCAGAAAAACACCGTACTGACAGCCACCATGACCACCACGGATCCATGCGCTAAACCAGCTCTCAAGATCAACATCGATCTCGCTGCGCCAGCAGAATCTCACCTCCAGCCCCCAGCGCAGGAAAGACGTCTGTCCGCCGAGATTCTAAGCCTAATAGAAGAAGCCTTCCCAGAACCAACCTTTGCGAGCGAAACTCCCTCCACATTCATCGAACAGAATGTCGATCCACCAGGATACAACAACACAGACGACCCACCCCAATACTCCACTGAATCCCATGGCACACTTCTCGACCGCCTCTCAGCACCACAAATGTCCGCCGCCTTCTCCATTTGCGTTTCATTCAAGCGAATCACAATGGAGCCCCCTTTACCCGAATCCCCGATTGAAGTCTTGTCCGACCTCATGCTCGTTTCTCCAGCGATGTCTTTTGACGTGTTCTTGCAACAGATACAAGCGAAGACGAGAGGACATATCTTGGCTTCGAAGCGGAGTCTGCCTGGGGAGTGTGTGGTTCATGCCTTCTACGTTGTGTTTAGGGAGCGAAGTCATGGGCTTCTCATCAAACGGGAGAAGAAGTTCAAGCTCATGATCAAGCCAAGTAATTGGGCAGCTGTTATTGCGAGTTTGAGAGATGGTAAGGCTGGCAAGATTCAGGTCAAGTTTTGGACGGAGACGCCAGGGTCAGTGGCAGAACAGACAAGGCGTGCAAGGATGGAGACAAACGTAGCCAGGAACATGTCGCGCACTCTATGGACAATGGCGTGATTCTTCGATCGCAAGACGACGTGACGTCGTGCTTCATTAAGTAGCGAGAAAAATGCTATATCATTGGGTATTGTGCATGAGAATCCACACCTGAGCACAACTAGTTGCGCAGCTTACTTTTGATCATTACTTCGTTCACCATCATTCAGCCACTGCGCTGCCAGACTCCGAGACCGTATCGCGATTGCTGTCGCTGTCAGTCCTGGCCTTCTTCCTCGCAGGGCCATCCTCTACAAGTTCCTTCAGTCGTCGCTCCAGCTCTGCCGCCCGCGAATGTGCGGTCGCGAGCTCTGCAAGATACCTCTGCACTTCGGCGTCCTTACTGCGCTCCTTCTGCCTTGCATCCTGCTCACTGGCCTCCAGTTCTGAGACCCGGCCTCTGAATAAGTCGTTGATGACCTCGAGCTCTGATACTCGTGTTCGCAATGTGTTGTTCTGATTTACCAGATCTTCGTAATTGGAGGAGACGCCCATGTGCGACCCATGTCCATTCGTTGTCGGAGCTGGACTAGGGTTGCGCAAGTTGAACGCTGGCAGACTGGGACTGGCAAATGTGTCGGAGGGCAGCGACACCGTGTCGAAGATGTGTTGCGGGGCGATGCTGTGGTTGTTATTTTGCTGGTGTAGGCTGGGTGTATTACTCCTGGATCCAGGCGAGGGTTCGCCCATGTGGCCTGTCATGCTGCCCATGGGGAAGCCATGCTGGTGGCCATTGATGGTGCCAGGAGCGTGCGTGGCCAGATGGGCTGCATCAGGATGCGCAGCAGCATAGCCATTGGGAAGCATGAGGCCACTGCCATCCTGTCCGCCCTGACTGTCCCGCTTCTTGGGCTGCGACGTCTTGACTCGGTTTCGACTCTTGATCACATCGCTTTTCAGGCTGATGGGTCTCGGACGGCCGTGCAACTTCAGAAACAGCCCGCATGCATTGCAGAGCACCGATCCGGACTCGTCGCGTCGCCAGAGTGGAGTGACGGACGTTTGACAGTTGCCGCAGATGGGAGGCTGCGGTGCTCAGGTCAGTCGCCGTCGCCGTCGCCGTCGCAGTCGCAGTCGCAGTATCGATAAGGGCTTTTCGAGATCCGGGGAGTGGCTCTCTCGCCCGCGTACCCCTGCACTCGAGCTAAGACTTACCGCTGAACTATTTTGGTTCCCGTAGCCAGCTGTCGCAGCCGGCGCGGTTTGGCTCATTGCCGTGCTACTTGTCGGAGTCGAAGATCTCGTACTGTGCCATGCAAATGTTAGTGATCAAAGTACCAGATAGGCCTCCGAGATAAGGCAGCGCGGAGCGCGCTGTTAAGCTTCGGATATTTCTGCGGGGGAACAGGGGTCCTGGAATTGCAAAGGCAGCTGATCAGCTCGAGAGCGATGCCGAAAGCTGTTCGCAATTCGTCTGCTCATCTATCTACGTCTTGGGTTTGGTCTCATTTCGCGTGCTACTGCTGCCAGGGTATATCACTCACTTTTCACCACTTCTCCCACTGCTGCTCTTGTTGGTGATCGCAGCCGGGGCATTGGCTGCAATGTTTGCCAAAGCGCCCAAAGCTCCAATTCCGCTGTCAAAAAATGCCTGCCTATTATTTTGATCGCCGCTCGAGCTGTATGAGATACTCGAGGGTCGTCGAGCTTTCGTGTTGCAATCGCTGTTTCGAATGTCGTGTGATGGAGAGACTGGCTGTGCGAACCTAGGCCGCTGGAAAGACTGTGGTGGATTGGAAAGGGCGTAGGAAAGCATCGAGTTGGCGGGCGATTGAACGGGCGTATGACGGTAGTCAAGTCCAGGACTGCTCGATGGATCGCTGGAGTATCTTGTCGAGAATGCAGCGAGCGTGGGCCAGGGCAGGGCAGGGCAGGGCAGGACGCGTCAAGTTTCGTTTTGATATTAGGATTACGGGAGATTCTGGGCAGCTGGTATGGATATCTGTTCAGGCCAAGCGATCGAAGGCCTTCAGATAACAAGAGAAGAAAGGAGAAGAGAAGAAACGAGAAAAGTCATCGATGAAGCCGGAAAGTCAAGCAGCACTACAGCTGTATTGATTGTTTCGCGATAGGGGCATTGATAGCGATAGTTGCGTTGCAGGGATGTTGCGAACGTCCTAGCGGGCAGCCATTGCCGATTTCATGACCTGCATGAGATTAGCAATTTCTGATTCGTTTGCCCTGCCGACACAACGCCCACTCGATGGGCCATCATGGCGCGTTCAACGCGTGAACAGGCACTCCTCTCGTACTGCTGAGATGAGCACGTCAATATTAATGGCTCCATAGCGACAACGATTTGCTTGGCCGATGCTGGCATGTTTGCATGGAAGCCTGCCACTCCTTTCACTCAAAGGTGGAAGCCCTAGATATTCAAAGTCTGTCTCAATACTTTGATGAGAATTGATGGAAGTGTTCCAGTGCCTCGCGGTCGGCGGTCGGAGCAGATCTTCCCGCGTACGGTAAGTATCCGCTCAGCCGCTCCCGGCGCTTGTGAGAAACAAGCACTGCCATTGCGCGATGACCCGTAACCGTCGTGACCGTGACCGTGACCGTGACCGTGATCATCAAATCGACAGAGGCAGCAATTATTTGACCCGAACATCAGGAGTGCAGTGTCCCTTGAAAACCACCATAATGAGCTAGCCGACAGCCACGAGACAGTGTCCTGGAAGTAGCGAAGGAGCGCCATAGGCGAGGGCGAGGATGCCTGGGAAGCGTCCAGCTGCGTCTGGCTATGCGAGGATTGCCCAAGCAGAAGAGGAAGAAGATGAGCTGATACACTCCGACAATGAAGACCCATTCAACGACTCTGCGTACACAATTTCCTCGCCGACTGCTCAGTATGCGCCCATACAGCCTAATCGTCACCGCCACTCCATGCGCATGCCTGACGGCTCGGGACTGCCCAGGCCAGGCAGAGCTAGACGCGCCAACAGCGCTGTAGACATCAAGGCGATCAACGCGAGATTGGAGAAATGGGCAGACGAGATCAAAGAGCGATTCAAAAGACGGAAGGTGAAGGGGAAGACTTCGTACGAGGAGCAATTAGAGATTCATCATTCAGTATTCCAAGCGCCAGACTGGATCCGACCTGCGACCAGGGACACTTTAGACGAGGACTTCAACGACGATAGTGGAGTCGAGCGAATGTCCAAACTGGAATTCGACGATCTTGTGGAGTCTGTGCGGACTGCTATTGAACTTGGCCTGCATCCGAAGCTTATCTCACAAGGCAGCAGTGGCTCCTACTTTGCGCGAAATAGCGGAGGCAAGGTCGTAGGCGTGTTCAAACCAAAGGACGAAGAGCCTTATGCGAGCAAGAATCCAAAGTGGACCAAAGTAAGTACCAACTCCAGTGGCTGACCTTCTGTGTCTTGAAGCTAATGTTCTGCAGTGGATCCACCGGAATCTGTTCCCATTTGCATTTGGACGAGCTATGCTGATTCCCAACTTGAGTTACGTATCTGAAGCTGCTGCATATGTGCTGGACTGTCAGCTGAGGACGAATTTGGTGCCCTACACAGATGTCGTGGGATTGAGTAGCAAGAGCTTTCACTACGATTGGATGGATCGGAGGGCATATTACAGGAAACGAAAGGCATTTCCAGAAAAGCTAGGCTCATTTCAGGTATTCCTGAAAGGTTACAAAGGAGCGACAGAGTTCTTTCGAGAGCATCCCTGGCCGGACCAGCACGATGGTAGCTTTCGAGAAGCGCCCTCAAGAAAGAAGCGACGCAAGCGGTGGGATGAGAATTGCAGACCTTCTAGCAAATCAAACGGCCGGCCAGCTGCTGCTGATGGCTACGACACGGAAGACGAAGAAGATGACACTCCTGGTGGGCAAAGTCGATCTACAACGCGATACTGGACAGAAGAACTACAGCAGAGCTTCCGAGAAGAGTTGGAAAAGCTTGTAATCCTGGACTACGTGATGCGAAACACAGACAGAGGAACAGACAACTGGATGATCAGGATAGATAAGGACACGAACAAGGCTTCTATCGTCAAGGAGCCTCCGAAAGAGAATGGAAATTTGGGCACAGATGGCTATAATAGAAGAGATGAGAGCATGACGACATCAAGATCACCAAGTACTGGGTACGATACAGCTACACCGAGAATAGGTGCTATTGATAACTCCTTGTCATGGCCTTGGAAACACCCTGATGCTTGGAGAAGCTATCCATTTGGCTGGTTGTTCCTACCAGTCAGCTTAATCGGGCGACCATTCTCCGAGAAGACGAGGAGACATTTCTTACCACTTCTCACTTCGAAAGATTGGTGGAGTCAGACGCAAGTGAAGCTACGGAAATGTTTTGAGATTGATGTCGATTTCCAAGAGAAGATGTTCGCAAGGCAAATGGCGGTCATGAAGGGCCAGGCCTGGAACGTTGTTGAGACACTCAAGACACCAGATCACGGTCCTCTTGAGCTGACACGGAGAAATCGAGTGCACGTGTGGGACGATCTGGTAGACATACCTGTGGCCGTACCGCTGACACGAGCGAGCGAGGAGATGCGCCGACGAGCAGCAGCAATGAATGCCATTGATAACCAACGGCGCATGGTGCCTTCCAACCCTAGTCAACCACGAGATATTGTCGAGGAAGAGGAGATGGACATTTCATCGGCACTACAGCCGACCAACCCAGCACCGAACGGCGATCTACTGGGCGTCACTGGCACTTCTCTTCCTGAAACATCGAACCGCTTCAACCACTCTAGACAGAACTCCGCTCAAGACATCCACCGACCAGAAGTCCAAAAGGTCATCAAGGAGAACCTCCTCGGCTCACCAGAATTGGCCCCAAAAGAGCTTACATTCTCACCATCCACAGCACGAGGCACACAAAGCGCGCAAAGACCTGGCGCGCCATATCGTTCACGAACGGGTGGCCATCGCAGGAGTCACGACATCCCCCGCAACAACTCCGCGTGGCAATCACCTACAGCTACCAGACATCATAATCGGACATTCTCGCTCAGCTTCTCCGGCCGGAGAAACTCGATGGCGGATCCAAACTTTGAGGATGATGGAGATTTGGGATATGCTGCGACAGCTGAGCGGGAAGGCGCTATGAGGAAGGTCATTGTGGAAAGATTAGAGATGGTGAAGACGAGGGCGCCGGTATTCAAATGGTGCTAATGCAAAGCAGTCTTCAGACTCGGAAGCTCAACAGGTGCTGGAGAACTTGTTGCTCTGTGCTTGCTTTCTGGTTGTAATGGATACCTTGTCATACGCATTATTGAGGGCTTGTGGAATGCGTGAGGAAAATTCAGACTCGGGGAAGGCGTGGCACAGAACCCGGAAGTCGTGTATGAGCTAAGAGGAGACTACAATACGGTCTGTCTGTGACATGCTAGTGTACGACCGCATGCACTTCGGCCTTGTATCCTTTGCGCGCTGCTGGTGAGATGTGTCAATTCTTGAATCGGAGCCGACAGTCGGGGCCAGGAATGAGCTTCTGTCTTATCTATTGGAGCGTGCTATTTCGTTCTGTCTATCTTTGTAGGTTCCTGCTTTGCATTTCCGTGGGTCTGCTCTGAGCATCATTGTTGCGGTGAGGACGTAGGCAATACATACATAGATCCATCGCCGCAGTGTAACGCCAATGCCGGCACTTTCAGGGCGCGAACGTTCTTGCGACGTCCCACGTTACATGGCTCAGACGCCGAACGAGTGAAGTCAAATAGCCCAATCCCACTGAACCATGAGTTGTGCGCCCAAGATACAGCGCCAATGCAGCAACGAGGATCGCAGTCCCGGTCCATTTGACTGGACGCCGGTATTTGTAGGCGAGCGCTTGCATGCGCTGCCGGACCTGCTTTAATGCATCTTGCCTGTGGATCTCTGCAGCTTGCAAGGCAAAGAGCTGCTCGCCTTCCTGCAGAGTCTGCTTGGAGAGCGCCTGCGGGTCGCGGGTCGTCTTAAGCACCGAATAGGAGCTCACTCGTTTCCAGGCTCGATTGGGGAGCTGCTCGGGCGGATAAGTGATGAAGAGAGTCTGTGTACGGTGGATCAGAGCCTCCAGGTCCAGAGGCTTGGGAAGCTTTGAGAGAATGGAGTGGAGCATCTCCGGTTCATCATGGTCGATTTCCAGGAGTTCTTTCTTCCTGGACATTACAATCTGTGACCATGCTCAGCAAATCTCACGGACGCAAATTACTGGATCGGCACTTACCGTTGCGAAAAGGTAGACTGGTACGACAGCTTCACTAGCCAGTAAGTAATCGAACAGTCGGGCAATGTCTCCATATTCCTCGATATCATGCGCATATAGCGTTAACGTTGCTGCAAGGGCGAAGAATGGCGTTGGCTGGGTTGCACCTGACAGGTGTTTGTATAGTCCTCGATCCGCAGCATAAAGGATGCTGGGGAGCAGGTGAAGATGAGCTTCAGCAGCCGTCAAGGTCGGCAGCATAAAGTCTCGAATGCGCAAGAGCGACAGCCGAGCAGCAGCAGCACTTGCGGCATCAGCTCCGAGCACCAAGAGGAGGACCTGTATGATATCGTGATAGCCCTGGAAATAGCAAAGCATGGAGTGTCGTCTCAAAGTCGCGGTGATGACATGTGACAGCTCACGTTTGCGCTCCTCCATGCGCTTCTCGGAGTCATCTGGAGTCAGTCAGCCAGTCCGATGAATTGGCCTTGCGCTGCGTAGTGTGACGAACTCTCGGGGTAGTACACAAAAGAGCGATTTACATCCAGCTGAACCTGGTCCTCATCTCGATGTCGCCCCAAAGAGGCCCAGTCGTTGTTCTCACTGGCCGCCTCGTCGTTGCAACCCAGGAGCACCGGCCCTGAGGGGCACGCGCGTCAGAATGCAGCACGCATATCGGTCCTAGCTCTGGACATGACTTACATGCCGTGCGCCGAACACAGTCTTCGACGAGACCATTCGCAGACGCGGCCAATTCCCTCAGAGCGTCGAGATCATGATCCCTGCATGCTGCCAGAATCTGGCTGACCTTGGCCTCGTCGACTCCGGACAAAGATGCAGCGCTCGATGAGCCGGATAGCGGCGAGAGCGCAGGCGAAGCGGATTCTGCGGAGATTGCAGCGTCGTCTGCTGCAGGAGGTGTTGGCGGATGGTGTACTGCCGACTCCCCCTCGTTGGTATCCAGGCTGGCCATGTGCGGGACCGGGAATCGCACATCTTGTGACGGGCGTCCGGAAGAGTGATCAGCAGGCTGCGAGCGTGTGTCACGACTCACCAGGCTCTCAGCGGTGCTCGCTTCTAGTCCCGTGGCGAGAGAACTGAAGTCATGATCGAGGACGAGGTCCGGCCGGGATCAATTGTGCAGCTGACGCACGGACAGGACGGTGAAATCTCAGCACGGGGTCCACTCTGTTTGGACTTCATGCGCTTCTTCTTCTTCTTCTTCTTCTTCTTCTTCTTCATGCGTGCCCGATCATCGATGCGTGCATCAACCAACACTCACTCACTCGCGGAAAGACCTTGCTCAATGTTGCAGTAGACGACACGCACTACAGGCCTTGGAGCTCCCCGTACAAGGTGCGAGCTAGCTGCTGTGGATCGTGGATCCCTGCTGCCAGATCTGATAGATCACATTCTGTCGATCCGACATGGCGCCACTGCGGCCAGCGTGACTGCTACTGTATACGGTATACCACCGCCTACAGGAGAGGACGTGGGCGTGGGCGTGGGCGTGGACGTGGGCGCTGTAGCGCGACAGCTCGACACGGCCAGACTAGGCGCTGTCTGCTGGTGACTCGACCCGGGACAGTGGGTCTGAGCTGTCTTTGCAGTTCAACACGCGACGCAAGGGCTCTGCCTGCTGCAGCTCCTACCCGAAACACAGACGCTTTCGGCTTGTGCGGTACATCAAAAAGACGAGCCAATGGTATACGGTCCATTCGGCGAGTCTTCACTAATCCTTCGCATTGATTAAATTCACCTCCTCCATACCTGACATGCGAGGCAGAGGCGGAGGCTAGTGCCCAACTTCACACGACATTAGCCCCCAATATTTTGCGACCATCTTGACGACCTGCGTGTGCGAATGTAGGAGACGAATCCTACTCGGAGACCAAGGTGAAGCAGTGCACTTGCCTTTTCTGTCCCTTCCAGCCTCCATTAGCTTTGTATACAAGAAGGCTTGGATCTGAAAGCTATACAAATCTCCTACATCTATTTCATGCCTTGACTACGGTATGGAAGCGTGATGGAGTTATCGGAGATATCGAACACTGCGGGACGCAGGCCCATTGGCGTATACACCAAGACGGTTGTGCAAAGTTCGGCCATTCGCTGGATACTTCACGCTCGCATTCGGCACCGGGGACGGAACGACGTTGTGTTCGTGGGAGAAGACTTCATACAGGTGAAAGAGGTCGGCAAAGAGGGACACCTAGTGGACATCGCGACATGCGCAAATTTCGATGCACGAATACGAGCTGCCACTACCTTTCACCATACTGACGATTCCACAGACGAGGATTTTCTCGTCAAGCTTGAAAAGGATGCGGCCTCGTTCAGAAGAGATGCCGCGCCTCCCCAGAGCATCGTGCTGACCTTGGACTCGAATGACCTGGTGTTCGTGTTCCTCCGGCTCCACGGCGACGGAACTTTCCATTTTGTGCAGCAAACTTGCCCGATGCCATCATTCGATCGCATTCTGTTCCAGCCTGGCGAACACCTCGCTGTTGATCCATTCTCGCGTGCAATTGCAGTCGCCGCGAATGAGAAGGAGGTCCTCTTATACGCTGCAAAGCCTAAAGATCAAATCCAGTATGAGATCAAACAGAAAGACAAGGACTGGTGCCCGGTGTCTGCACAGAAGTCTGTGAAAGTCGATGGCGTTATCCAGCACGTGGACTTCTTAACTCCTCCTGCCGATGACACAGACCACATCATTCTGTTGCTCATCGTTGTCGATCAACACCGCACCAAGGCCATTCGTATTGACTGGCACTATTCGACAGGGCCCCGACACGCCCAGGTGCATCCTGGTCAAGCTCTCGAGTCTGCTCAACAGGTATCGAATTTGCTGATCCCACTGCAAGAAGCAGCCTTTCTGCTGGTCACGGGCGACGAGATCACCTTGTGGAAGAACATCCTTTCTGGATCCGCAACCGCTTTCGGTTTGCCTCAGCCGACAGCTAGTCCCAAATATCCTGGTATTTCGGCATGCGCCCCTGTGTGGGCCAGCTGGGCAAAGCCACGGCGAAGTCAAGCGGCGAGGTCAAGTAAGGACTTTATCTATCTTGTACGAGAAGACGGATTGGTCTCGCTGATAACCATTCCCAACACCGCTCCCACCGGGCTCCAGCAGAGTGTCGCGGGTGATCTAGACTGCCATGTCGGCACAGCATTCGCCTCACTTGGTGATGAGGGAGATCCTGATATCCTTTGTGTGGCTGGTAGTGCTAGCAGTGGCAAAGTGGTGTCCATAGGTAACTGGCCTTCAGCTCTGACCAGGTCAGACGCCATGAATATGGAAGTCATCGAGGTCTTGCCTAATTGGGCATCAGCAACCGACATGATCTGCACTGATATGCTCCATTCTAGTCGGTCACGAAACAAGGATCAGGAAAGTGTTCTGGTGACTTCCGGTAAACAGCCTTTCGGCACTATCACCGAGATACGAAGAGGCGTAGAGGCCCGCCTATCAGTATTCTTGGAGCTGGAAGGTCTCCGAACTGTCACCGACGTATGGGTGCTTCCAGATCTTTCACTAGGAGCGACCGTCATTGTTCTTTCCTGTCCCGACTCGACACGACTGTTGGCCGCCGGTGTAGACTTCGAATCTCTCGATGAAGTCGGGGACGGCTTGGCCTTTGACAGTCGCTGGAAGACGCTCGCGGCCGGCCTCACAAGCTCAGCTCATCTCGTGCAGATCACAGAGCGTACAATTTGCGCTTCGACCGCACTACAAGCAAATTTCGAGGACACTTCGAAGCATAGCCTTCCAGAAGATCAGGCAATAGTGGCTTCCTGGATCATACCGAACGCTTCTGTGATTGTCAATGCAGAGCGTCAAGACAATGGACACGCGATCGTATGCTATCACATAACGAACAATGATACAGACTCCACCATTCAGCCAGGCCCAAGGTTACATATACCATACGAGCCGCTCTCCATCACCGCTGTCTGTCATCAAAAGAGCGTTTTGACTCTGACCGCAACAAACGATGGCAAGATTGCCCTCGTACACTTCCGGCAAGACGGTGCACCTCTTTGCTATGCAAAAGAGCTATCGACTGCGTCACATGATAATGCTATCTGTGACAATGTTGTCATCCTGGAGGCGAATGACCAGCTTCTTGCCGTATGCGGACTCCGAGATGGCAGAGTCATTGGCATTGAGATTCATCTCGACGCGGGAGAGCCGCTGGGTCAAGAGCACAGTATATCGCTAGGACACAGCACAGTAAAGCTGGTGCATCTTGCGGCCTACAAGCATTCAAGCATCGCCATGACTGCCTCAAGCACCTACCTCTTATCATGGTCCGGCGGCAGCGCAAGCTCGATGGCGTGTGAGAACATCTGGGTCACAGACAAGGCTCGTCCAGAGCTATCACAAGGTCCTATTGCGGCATGCACGCAGATGCCTTCAGCGAATCACTTGTCCTCCGACACGCTCGCTGATGCGCTCATGATGATATCTGGAGACGAGCTGCTCGTTGCTGATCTCGAGCACAAACCTTCTACTGTGCCTCGTCAGATCGCAGTCAGCAGCACGCCAAATAGAGTCGTCTATGCTGAAGCATTGAGACAGCTCGTGTGCTGCGGTTTGGTCGCAGAGGCACGCAAATTTCCATCATCAAGACCACAATCAGCACCGGAAGAAAAGCGTCAGATCTGGCCTCGACTGGAATTCATTCCAGCCAAAGGCAGCATGCCAACTTACATTCATGACATGCAGCCGGGAGAGCGCGTGAGTGCAATCTTACCGTGGTCGTTACGTGCCTCGACAGACAAAACTTACGCGCATATCTTGGTTGGAGGTAGTTACATGCGCACCAATGGAAAGCGGAGAGGCAAAGTCACATTTCTTCAACCCGTGGTGACAAAGTCTCAAACTTGGGAAATATCAGAGATCAGAGAAGCTCGTGCTACCGTTTTTGATGAGGAGGTCTACTCGTTGGCCCTCTACGATGATACCACATATATTGCGTGCACCGGAGACAGCATACATATTCAGCGCTTATCGGTGGAAGAAAGTAGGTGGGACAAGATCTGCCCTCCATTCAAGATGGCCAGCCCTGGTGTCCACGTCACTGTCGAAAAGGACAGCAATGGCGAAAAGGTCATCGTCATTGCGACAAATGCCGACTCACTCATTGCATTGAAGCTGCTCGAGACTCGAGAGGAAGATGGCACGACCAAGTGTTCTCTGTCGCCGGTGGCAATGGGCCCGCAAGCAGACCTGTTGATCAGCCACCTTATCGTGCCCACACCGGAACAGAGTGAAGATAAGACATCGCTCTTCTCACTGGCAAGCTCAAAGTACGGGCGGCTCATCGGCATGATGCTCCCGGTTGAAACAAGTACGCAAAGCGCTTCACAGTCAGGCTACAGCTCAGGCACCATGTGCTTTGAGGCTCAACTCTGGAGATCAGTAACAAGAATGGTACGAAACCCACCAGCAATGCGCAAAGGAGCGGCACCAACAGGTATCGTCTCCGAGCGCATGACCGGCTCGGCTACAGATGGCGCCGTGGTCAATATAGCGCTTCTCGATCCAACACTTTGGCGAAAGCTGTTCTGGTTGCAACGACTCATCGAACGTAACAAAACGCTGTCACCACGCTGTCACCGCGATCCGCCTTACATCTCTGGCGGCGAAGGTATGACGGGTGAGAGCAGAGCGCTGCCGGTTGGCTTCGGCGGAGAGATGGCTGTAGCCATGACCACTAGCAATAGTAAGCTCAACGACTTCCATATCGATGGCGATGTTCTTGCTCGAGCTCTTTTACCGGGTGCTCCAGCGGCTATAAAGCAAGTCCTGGTCGATCTTTCCGAGAAGGAGGATGCCGTTGGGGAATGGGTGCGAGCGCACCTCGAGACGGAAGTTGCAGCTGTCGAGGACACCATCAGGATGGTGAAGAGGATTGATGACTGGATGTGAAGAGCGCACGAGAGTCGATGAAGGACCAAGAAATGAATCATGAGCACGAAGTGGAGGACACGGTAAGATACCCAATTGATGAAGCAGGTTTCGCGACGACTAGGATTGTTTTTGGCAGCAATTCTCGATAGACTGAATTATCCATTCTTCCTCCACTCACTATCCGATGCATACAAAGAGATGTGTCCTTCGATTGGTGATAGTAAGCGTCCTTACAAACAGCAAGCAAGCAAGCAGATCCAGCAACCCCTCAACGCCGCTGGCACCACAAATGTCCCTCGAGCGATAAGAAAAGGTTGTTCAGTCTGGGAACAAAAGATGACCAAACCCCGACAATGCGAAAGAAAAAGTGATGCACAGCCAAGCAACGCCTGCGATACGAGTGTCCCATTATTCAAGCTCCGCCAACTCACTCAAATGCGCCCCGCCACTCGGCGCATCGACAATCTTGATGGAATGCTTCGAACTCATCCTCCTCGTCGTCCTCTTCTTGACGACGACATTGGGTGGAATCGAAGGTAAAGGACAAGTCGGCGGAGCGGCCGAAGGCGGAGGGAAAAGCGGGTTAGAGGTCGTGGTCAAAGGCGTAGTAGTGCGTCTCGTCGGCGGCATGGAAGCGACGTGTCGAAGGGGTGTCGTCCTGCGTGCAGAGATTGGGGGTTCGGATGGAGGGATAGGGATCATGCTCTGCGGGGTTTCAGCGCCTTGACGTTGGCAGGGAAGGTTTGCGTCTGTGGCGGCGATGTCCAGGCTTCGAGTGTCGCGGTAGTCTTTTGTCGGGGTGGTGGGGTCTTCGAAGGAGAGGGACATTTCCATTGTGAAGTTTGGATCCGGGCCTACGAATTCCGGGTCGACGCCATCGTTCCAGAGTTGGGTGAACTGGGCCCATGTGGGACGCCAGTCGGTTTGCCAGTCGTGGACGGCGACGTCGCCGTAGGCGATGAGTTGTTTGCCGCGGAGGAGGTGCGCGACTTCGATTTTCTCGGAAGATTCTTCGATTGCGTTCCAGAATGCTGCTAGGCCTTCGCAGTGCATGCGTTCTTCTTGGATCTCGGATCGTGAGCTTTTGCGTCGGGACTTGAGGGGTTTGAGGTGAGACTCGTTTTTGGCGTCCATCCAGCACGGCCATGGTTGACGACGGGGGTAGGCAGCGTCCAGGGCTGGTCGGATTGCACCATCGTAGACCCGCTGGAGATCGCTGTAGCTCATGTGTCCGGTGCCTGATGCGGAGGAAGCAGTCGAGGCATATGGTAGGATGAGGTAGAAATTCACGCGAAAGCCGAGAGCTGTTGATCCTATATGAATGTAGGGCAGACGCTCGGGTCGAGGATAGAGGCGACTGGATAGGCATCGTTGGTATAGCTGCTGCTCGATGTGGTCTGGGAGTGGCGGTCCCAGTTGGGGGGTGCAGTTCATGGTGAAACGAAAGATCCAATTCGATTTGATCATGGCAAGAGATGTTGGGAAGATGGTGATCTCCTTGATGGATGCGAGATCGTAATGCGGGTGTGTCTGCAGGGGTCGCTGCGAGAGATGGAGTCCGAGCTGGAGTGGCGCGGGTCGTAAGAGCGGTCGCGATGGAGTGCGTAGACTCGAGGAGCTGTTGCGCTTGAGACGACCATTCGCCATGAAGATGTTGAGGAATGATCCGTCAGGCTCATATCGCAGCGACGTCGTCGACGCTTTTGCGGCCAGCGAGGTCAGCGACAGCCTCTTTCTCGAGCGCGTGCCGGCTGGCGACTCGGCTCTTCGCTTGCCCAGATGCATATTGATAGACGATGATGAAAAGAAAGCTGTCCGAGACAGAGGCGAGGATTACAAATTACGGCGGCAGAAAGCGCACAATGAGCGTAGACTGCACAGTATCATACAGTGGTCAGAAGGGCATCGAATGGTATGGGAAACAGTGTTGTGCCACGTCTTCTTGTAGGCCATCGACGGCAGATGTCAGCGTAAACAAAGCGAGTCAACACCGTTGCCTGCCATGCCATGCTGTATGCCTGACTGATGGCGACACGTCTGACAGGCCTTTATTATTAACGTTGTCCTCGAACTCTGGAGAAGACAAGCAGGGGAGTGCTGGTACAGAGACACCACGACTTGGTATCAGGCCAAGTTGAGTGCTGGCAAGAGCAGCACAGACGGCGTGGCGGTCTTGATTCTGCGCCATTGCTGTCTTCTCGTAGCAACGGAGGGTGAGGAGAACAATAACAATGAGGTGTATGAAGGATCTTCGGGTCGAGGAGAAGCTTTGATGAGTCGTGATGTTTATGCTGGCGCCAGTTGCACACGTGACGTGACCATCATGACTCGCATTCATCTCCGCCCCGTCACGCGTCCGCGAGATTCAGCAAGACGGCAGACAAGGCGCTGGTCTGAACTTAAGGCGACAGCACAACGGCCATCCCGCCACACCGCACTACAATATCGCGACTCCACGCTCACCCATCGCTGGGCCTGGTGAGTTGTAGAAAAGATGCAGCCATGAGGTGACAGCAGCACCCCGAAATACACCAGCAACTGCTGCCTTCTCACCACAGCAGCTATGGCCCAGGGAGAACAGGACATCAGCGGAGGGACGGGCTCCGGCTTTGGCAGAGCGGTGGTGATATGCGCAGGTGTCGCCGCCCTGGTAGCATGCCTGCTCACGTTGGTGTAGGTACACCCAGACAAATACAAATCCATGTATAACACCACGCTCACCTCACCACAGTTCCATCTTCCTGCAATCCAAGAACTACCGCAAGCCGCTGCTCCAGCGCCATGTCATTCGCATCCTCATCATGGTCCCAATCTTCTCCATCGCTTCGTGGGCCTCCTTGACCTCCCTCCGAGTCGCCTTTTGGGTCGACCCGTTCCGAGATGTCTACGAAGCCTTTACCATCTACACCTTCTTTCAGCTGCTCGTCAACTTTCTCGGCGGCGAGCGTAGCCTGATCATCATGATGCACGGCCGACCGCCAGTCTCGCATCTTTGGCCGCTCAACCACGTATTTGCAAAAGTGGATATCAGTGACCCGCACACCTACCTGTCAATCAAGCGAGGCATACTGCAGTACGCTTGGTTTAAGCCTATACTGGCAATAGCGACGGTCGTGTGCAAGGCGACAGGCACCTTCAGAGAAGGCATCATGGCGGTGAACTCGGGATATCTCTGGACAGGTCTGATCTACAACGTCAGCATTTGCTGGTGCCTGTATGATCTGGCTCTCTTCTGGGTGTGCATGACACAGGACCTGCAGCCCTTCAGGCCCATGCCGAAGTTTCTCTGTATCAAAGGCATCATTTTCGCCTCGTGGTGGCAGGGCTTCTTCCTGTCCATCCTGGTATGGCTGGGCGCCATCCCCAGCGTGGGAGGTGGCTACACGGCCGACAATCTGGCCGCTGCCATCCAGGACGCTCTCATCTGCTTCGAAATGCCATTTTTTGCTGTCTGGCACTGGTATGCATTCAGCTGGAAGGACTATGCCGACAGGACTATCAGTGATGCCCGCATGCCCATACGATTCGCCCTCAGAGATGCTTTCGGGCCTCGAGACCTGATTGAAGATTGTAAGGAGACCTTCAGCGGCAAGAAATACGAGTATCGCTATTTCGATGCCGATGACAATGTCATGGCCCACGAGCAGTCCTCGAGCAGAGAAGCACGGATGCGGGAAGGCATGCGATATGAGCGAAACGGAAGAGGAAAATACTGGGTGCCTTCACCCACAGATGTACGCCAGCCACTCCTACAGAAGTATGTGCCGAGCAACGCTCGCACAATGAGTCCAAGTGGTGGCGCTCCAAACAGGTCAACGAGCAGAGGCAAGTACGGCGCCGCGAACGAGGATGAAGAGCCCGAGCTTGATCCCGAAGAGGAGCGACTCTATACCAACGCGCGAGCGCTTGAATTTGGAGACTGGAATTATCCTGTGATTAACACTCATTACGCCACTCGTGAAGATAGGTTGCACAGCAATCCGTACACGATCACACAAAGCACGAATCGTGCCATCCTGCAGCCCACAAGAGAATCGAAACAACGACGCAAGTCTAAGATTGAGGATATCAAGAAGGAAGTGCACCAGCACAATCGACCAGGGACCTCTACGAGTCACGATAGCAACCAAGGCTCGTCAAAAGGAAAGGAGAAGCTGAAGCAATTGCCTGTCGTTGGCAAGCTGGTCCGAGGGTCATCCAGCACCTCCAGCTCATCTGCCAAGTCGAGAAGCTCACAACTTGTCGACCTGGTCGTGGAAGATCACGAAGCAGAACAACTCGAGCGCGTACGTGCTCGAAAAGAGGGCGGTCCGGGCTGGAACAGTGTCGAGCAAAAGCATTTCGTGAAGACTTACCCTGACGAGGATGCCGCCGAAGAAATTAGACAGGGATTCAATCCAGATGCTCCAGAGCAAAAGATCAAGAGCCAGACCCACAACCTCAACGACCCGTTCCCAATCGGCGACGGCGATGATGAAATGACTGCAGTATCTGATCAGGAAGGCCGCGATCAGCTTGGTCAGGAACAGCCCTGGGAGCATCGTGAGTACGGCAAACTCCAGCCTAACGGAGGTAGAGGCAACGGCAAAGGCTCTCAAGGTAACAGTCCACTGCCCAGTCCGATGTTTGAAGAAGAGAGAAACGCTTGGGGCGAGCGATAATCTTGGCGTTTTGATGCCGATATTCGCTCAGATTGTACATGTTGAGACATTAGCGGCGGCGTTCTTCACTTCGAGGGCATTGGTTGGCGTTTTGTAGTTTGAGATACCATGTCGTCCTGGTTGATCAGATGAAAGTAGGCAGCCTTTCGTACCATGGAAGCAGTGTGGGCAGCACTTGTCAATACTCTCTTGTGCCACATATTCGCCACGAGTCCAAAGAGCCATTACGGGATCCTCTGGGGGGGGCTCTGCTTGGCAGTACCAAACACTTCATCAGTGAGAGTCTCTTTGTTCGATCCTGTACCGCCCAAACAACCGCCTCACCCCACTCATGCAAAATTCACATCAGCGCAAGACAAAATTTTGAAGGATCATTACGCTTACAGCCACATGAATCGTCGCTGAATTATATCATATACAAGAAGACAGCATTGTCATTACTGGAATGAAGACAAGTTCCGACTATCTCCCCCCAAAGTTCTCAGATTCATACGGTAGGTACCATGGCGACTTCCCACCTGCTCTCTCACATCACCATTACTATACCGCCTACAGTCTCTCAAATGCATAATCTACACACAACGCCTCTACTTCTACCCTGTCTCTCTCTCCGAATTCCCCTATCTAGTTAAAAATTATACTAGGCAGCCCGTTCTAGAATGTCATATACGAATTTCACTAGGACAGTTATATAACTAATAGTCTAATACGGCCGTCTCTAGTCCCTAATCTCCTCCGTTTTCTATATAGTTCCAAATTTATATATAAATACGGCCTAAAGAGTAATTAGAAGAAGAAGAAGAAAAAATTTAAAATCGATATCCGAAGATTCCGTATTATTTAGATTATATTATAGGGGGTTTAGACAAGTGCGGCAAATTGCTATAAGACGACGGTTCGGTTTGATATATACATATGCCATGTTTGGCGGCGAGGAATGTGAATTTGTATAAGAAGAGACGGGCGGCGGTTGGGGAATACGGGGTGAGAAGAGGATGAGTTTTTGAGTTGTAGCTGCTTGGTTGTTGATGAGAAGATTGAGAAGGAATGTGAGGTTATGAGGAGGAAGGGAAAACAGGGTGTGAGTGTGGATCTTGCGTGAGTAATCGAGTGTTTAGTGTCTAACGTAGGGTTTGCTAACTGTGCTCCTCGATTAACGTAGGGTTCTGTTTCGTGCTGTAACGAAGTTACATGTATGGCCAGCAATATGGATTGTTCGAGGATGAACGGACAACCCGAAGTTTGTATGACAGACGATTCGATGTTTTATTCGGCTTTAAGGATCTTGGGAGATTCATAGCATGGATGATTCCCATTGTTCTGATCTTCTTACGATCCCAGATCAACCCTTCTTCGATAGTAAAGAACCGACTGCCAGCTTCTTGGACTTCAACAATGTAAGTTGAGGCGAGCGTCTGATATACCAAATTTAACACCATCGCAGTTTCCAGAAAATATGAAACAGAAGCTCATGCAGCAGGAAGGTACTCACGTCGACCTCAAGATTGGAGAAAAGAACAAAACTGCCGCGCGGAGGTCTACCATCCACCGCTCGCTGCCGTTGGGTGACAAGACAGGATCAGCTCTCCCCGGGCGACGATGGCAGCTTGTTCTGGCGGATGGGATACGACTGCCTTCTTCATCACGCAGACAGCTTACCTGGTTCTGCGACGTCCGGATGTGCTAAAAAAGCTTCAAGCAGAATTGAGAGAGCTGTGGCCTGATTGAGCGAGAATAGATCCATGGCCATGCTCGGCGATTTACCATCGCTGAACGCCGTGGTCAAAGAAGGCCTTCGGTCGATGCACGGCGCATTATCGAGGCTGACTCGAGTCGATCCGGCGGCTCCAGAGCAGTACAGGGAGTGGAGCATGGCCCCAGGTTAGTAAGGTTTCGATGGCGACATCTGATCTTCACCATGACTAGGAAATCTGGGAAGATGATGTCCTTGTCTTCCGGCCAAACCGATGGGTAGGCCGTCCTGATCTGGGTAGATGGCTCGCCAATTTCAGCCAAGACGCCAGGGCAGGAGCTTGCTTGGCTGGAATTGAAGTGATTGTAGGCACTCGAATCGGCCGCCTCGAGATGCGAATGCCAGAAGGGGAGAAAGTCACAGATGCGAATATCCTGCCATATTGTGATGGATCCACGAGGTGTGGTATATCAGCGATCTATTCTCCATGATCGTGGATGGTATGTGCGGCTAGCCAGCGACGCTGAGCGCAAGCACTCTCTCAATCGAGATGTGATATGGGATGGACCGGATGGTAACGTCGACAGCGGACAATTTCGGGCGCCGATGGGAGCTTTTTTTGACAGGTAACTTCAAGCTTGCTGGGTGGTACGTGTTCTTTTGAACTTCACACGTGGATGTGGCTCTCGATCTCGATCTCGCTTGCGTTGCTTGCATACCGCTGAAACGAGTGACGGTAGGGTGTGTGACGAAGCTGTATTCGACGCTTGACAATGGTGAGAGGTGGTTGAAGGGTGAAGGGTGAAGGGTTTGGGTGCAAGCAAGTTGCACCCAAACGACACCCGCACTAGGTGTCTGTATACTGGCACCTCGCTAAATCTCGCTTAACTCGGTCCGTAGAGAACCCGAAATTGATGACGTTTTTGTGTTCCCGCCAAGACCCACGAATTTGTATGCGTTCGAGGCTTAATTTTGGGCTTCTCGAAACGTGCAGCACCTCGTCGTCTCTACTACTTTAGCAATATCGCTATAATAGAAGAACTAGCGCGACTAGCGCCTACTAGCGGCTATACTAACTTTAAGGCTCTTCGAGAATCGCTATTCTTCGCCGATAAGGATATTCTATTGCCGTACGACGATTTCCTAGTTAGTATAAAGCTAATGTCTAATATATATAGTCGTAATAAGATTACTAACGTAAAGGTAGATCGTACTAGCGGTAGGTTTGTTTCTAAGGCATACTATCGTTATATTTGTAAGAGTTAGTAGCTAAGTAGTAAGAGTGTATACGAAACTTTAAACTAAACTAAAGGGAGCACTAAATTAATATAGCTGCTATTTGTATAAGACGAACTACGAAGAAAGGAAGAAGGGTGCCTTAGAGGGAGAGCCCCTTCCTTAGTATTCTGCCCTACGGCCGTTTAGCGCGTCCGACGCGTAAGCGTAAGCATATATATCCTGCTTGTCTACTATCTCGTAGCGTCTTTGTCTCCTAGCTAACTAGCGTAGCGCGCGTATGCGAACTCGTTTAACCGCTCTTAAGCAAATATATTTCTTCTAGCTCTTCCCTACCTTCCGGTTCCTTCCTACTACTCGGATCTGTCCTACGACTCTATATATCTCGCTTGCTATCGTCCGTATATACGTGCGCGTAGTTTAGTATAGTCCCGTCGTTTATATATTAATATATAACGTATTATTCTACTATATACGGCCTCTATAGGAGTCCCTAAGATATTATATTATACGGCTAAGTAGGCGACCTAGGCGTACTAAGCGTACTAGGCGTACTAGGCATACTAGGCGTACTAGGCGTACTAGGTATACTAGGCGTACTAGGCGTACTAGGCGACTTAGGCTAACTAGGCGACCTGCTTCGCTAGGGGCCCCTACTACTAAGGCAACTTAAATCCGACATTACTTTATAGTATAGCGGCTAGCTTGTAGGACTTGTCGGTGCTTTCTAAGCAGCTACTATAATAGTAGCCCCCCCCTCGTTCTACGCGGAGTTCCTACGACGCTAAAGGAGGTCCGTATATAATAGGTGCTAGTATTCTTGTCCTAGTTCGGGTCGGAGGCCTTAATCTAAATTCTATTCGTACGCTTCTTAGAGAAAATGTTCCGGGACAGCTCCTTCTATTATCGTATAGTCGGTATAGTCTCGTAGGAATTCCTCGATTGCTTCGCGGGCGAAGATAATATAGCGTAGAGGTTCCTAGGTCGTATCCTCGTCTAAGTACCTCTCCTATTATATCTCTCCCTACGGCCCGGGAGGGTTGAGATTTCCGAAATTTGTATTACTAAAGCTCTATCCGATAATCGCCCGTACTATACCTAAGGTAGATTCCGGCTCGTCTTCGGCCTAATCGGTAGCCTCGGTAGCTTCTAGTATCGGCGGGATATCTTCGGAGTCCGCGATTTCTCCGGCGGTTCTTAGGTTAACAACGTATTTAACCGGGTAAATGTTGAGATTTTCTAGGAGATCCAGTTCGTATACGTGTATACCGATTTTCTTTACAATTCGGAAGGGTCCTAGATTTTTCTAGTCGAGCTTTTTCGAAGGTCGGTTAGTTCTAATATATCGTAAGTCGAGGTAGACGTAATCTCCGACCTAGTAATCTAGCGCGGCGCGTCTACGCTAATTAGCGTAGTGCTCGTATACTTCTTAGGTATACCTTATCTCGTCCTAGAGCTCTTAGTAGGTCTAGGCTATTTAAAGAGCGAAGGCATCGGCGTCTCTTTCCGGATCGTTTGCTAGAGGCTCTAGTTCGATCTCTATCGGTTCTATACCGGTTCGAGGGTAAAATCTAGTAGAGGCGTAGAACGGCGTAGTCTAAGTTGTAGCCGACTCCTAATTATTAATAGTAAATTCAATAGAAGGCGTTAATCTTAGCTAGTCGTTTTAGTAGTAATTATAGAAGTACCTAATAATTTGCTCGATCTACGCGTTAGCCCGTTCGGTTTGTCCGTCGGTCTGCGGGTAGTAAGCCGTTAAAAGGCGCGCTTGAATTTTCAATCGTTCGTAGAAGCGCTTCTAGAAACAGGCAACGAAATTCGGGCCGCGATTAGATACAATTGATTTAGGTAGGCCTATATCTTTCTATACGTCCCGGTAGAAGACCTAAGCCGTATTCTTTGCGGTTAGGCTACGGGCATTTAATACCTTCTTGCGTTTCGTAAGGCGGCAAACTACGACTAGTATGTTTTGAAACTAGAGGCCGTTAAAGTCGGATCCTTTCGGTAGGCCTATAATAAAATCTATTAAAATGTGTTACTATAGTCGTAGAGGGACTTTAAGAGGTTTTAGCAGCCCTTGCGGCTTACGCGTATCTGCTTTCGCTCTGCGGTATACTACGTAGTTCTTAACGAATCGGTCGATATCCCGGTATAGATTAGGCTAGTAGTACTACTTCCGGAGCTAAGATAATATCTTAGCTCGACCGGGATATACTATTCCGAGAGGGTTATAAGCGGAACGCATAATCTGATCGCGTAAATCTTCGAAATCCGGGACGTAGAGGGCATTTCTAAATGTTGTACGGGGTGCTCGCGGTAGAGTTCTACGGAGCTCGTACTCCGAGAGAGAAATATTCTCGTATAACCGCTCCTCGTTCTATAAAGCTTGAATTAGACCTTTAGTAAAAGCGTCTTCGGCGTATGCTGTCGTAAGCTACTATTCGAGCTAGGTAGGTTCGAGGAGGTCCTATACTTCCTCTTCGCTTTCCTAGTCGCTGTTTAAGCTTTCTAAACTCGTATCTTCGTCGTCCGAGCTATCGTCGTCTCCGAGAAAGGCGGGAGCGGCTATTAGTATAAAGGATACTACGAGAGGCTCTAGGCCGGTAAAGTCGTCTCCGAGGAGCTCGTATAGTTCCTAGCTAAGGTTATACTCCTTAAGGATAGACTGTTCTTTACGCTACGGACCTCGATCTATACCCCGATTAAGCGAGATAGCGGACGGGGGTAATCCCCGTAAACGGCAGCTAGCTTAAAAGCGTTAGACGTGAACTTTTTAAAGGTACGGATAATTCCTTTAGGCAGTACGCTAGCTTTGACCAGTTAGATCCCGTTTTCAGGGATTACCGCCGTCCGCTATCTCGCTTAATCGAGGTGTAAAGGCGAGTCTCCGTTGCGCCTTATAAGTGCGTCGGCCTATAAGTTTGCTTTGCCGGGCGTATACTAAATAACGAAGTTAAACCGGGAAAGAAACTTACTCTAGCGTACCTGCCTACGGCTAAGGATTTTGCTTTTAAGAAAGTAGATAAGGTTCTTATAATCCGAGCTAACCTAGATCGGTAACTTAGAACCTTCGAGTTCTAGACGCTATTCTTCGAAAGCCTTAACGATTACGAGGAGCTCCTTATCGTAGATGTCGTAATTGCATTCCGCGGAGGACATTTTCTTAGAGAGGTAGGCTACGGGTAGCTACGTATCTTCTAGGGTCGTTCGTTAAAGGAGAACGGCGCTAGTTATACCGTCGGAAGTATCGGTTTCTAGGCGCGTTTCTTTATCGAAGTCGAAGTACTATAGGATCGGTGCGGTCGTAAAACTTTACCGTAACTAGTCGAAGGCTTCTTAATAGGCCGGTAACTATTTAAATTTAACGTCTTTCCGCGTAAGTGCCGTAAGTAGACGGGCGATTCCGCTGAAATTCCGTATAAATCTCCGGTAGAAGTTAGCAAAACCGAGAAAGCCCTAGACTTCTTTTACGTTTCGTAGCACTTCCTAGTTTAAAACGGCTTCGATCTTGCCGGGATCTATTCGAATACCTTCTAAAGAGATAATAAGGCCGAGGAATTTTACCTCTTACTTGTAGAATTCGCACTTATCGATGTCGATATATAGTCTAGCTTCTACGAGTTTCTTAAGTACCTTTTCGATGTGTTCGTAGTATTCCGCTTTCGTTTTACTATAAATTAGGATATCGTCTATATACGCCGAGACGAAGGCGTCTAGGAATTCTTTAAGCGTATCGTTAATATATAATTAGAACGTGCTAGGTCCGTTATAGAGCCCGAACGGTAAGACTAGGTATTTAAAAAGGCCGTAACGGGTTCGGAAGGCTGTTAACTATTCGTCTCCCTCGGCAATACGGATCGCGTTAAAGGCGGCGATTACGTCGAGCTTAGTAAACTAGCGAGCCTTCGAAAGGCGTTCGAGCGT